TATATATATATATATAAGGATTATAGTAACTCTACCTTTTTTTAAAAAGAATCCCTATCCTAGACTATTTCCCAGCGTATTTAGTAATAATATCAAGATCCACGGTTATAACTATACACAGCTATTTTATTAACTAGGTCTTAACTGGCTATATAGTCTCCTTGGCCAATCACTTTTACGGGCCCAGCGATATCTTAAATCTAAGAAAGCTATACTATTTGTAATTAATAGTACAATACTACTGTTATCGTATCTTTATATAACTAGGAACCTTCTATAGACCTCGCGCGTATACTATATCCGCGGTCCAGGATCTATAGCTAATCTATTTATTAAACGTAGATTAATTAATTCTATAGTTACGCTTAAAGTTACTATACTTTAAATATACTTAGAAGATAGCGATCGCCGCGTGATAGTATAAGAGAATATTTATCTTAATCTATAGCTAGCTCTAGGCCTCCCATTATAAAATTATTTATAGCTAATTAAAATTTTAGCTATTTTCTTTACGGGACTAGAAAAAGAGTAATAGCTTTTTCTACTAACTATATAATTACTATTCTAAGTTTTAAATAAATGGTATTATTAGTTATAGATAGTACACGACTAGCTTATTAACCGGCCTAAGTAGATAGTGGTAAATAATCTTAGTTAAGTTATTTGCCAAGTAACTTTTGTAATATACGATTACTGTGCTAACTAAACTATTTTTAATAAAGATATTCTAATAATAGCTATAGATAATATTAATATAGTATAGACTAAATAGCTCTATAATCTATTTAAATTAATCTATAATAATATAGATTAGTAGCAGTAACTATTTTAAAAAATTATCTATTTATTAAAAATAGCAATAGACTGCGGTACTATATTAAATTACCTAGATTTTATTAACTTCTACGTTAATAAACTTTTTTTAAAGCCAGTTACTGGTTAAGACTCAATTTATTAACTATTATAATTTACCAGTCGCTAACATCGCGCGGTTAAGAAAATATTAAAGGAAATTTTAGCTTTATATATTTTTTATCGAATTATTCTATAGCTGGGTTAGCTAGAGAATAAAAATAATATCCTTTTAAATCTTCTTCTCATAGAAAAGAAAAAGCTTCTCGAGATTGGTCTAGGCTAACTCTATTTTCGTCTAGATAAAGCGATAAAACCCTATTATAATTAATCGCAGCTTTTTATACGTCAGCGTTTATTTATCCTTATTTTAATAAATATAGCCCTAGCTAATTATAGTATTCTATATCTTTTTCCTATATATCTATAAACGGGTGATCCAGTTAAAAGAAATTTATATCCTATAAAGAAAAAAACGCTTCTATATCTTATCTAAAGCATCCACGGGATATACTATATCGCTGGTATCTACTATCTAAACTATCTATTCGACAATAAGTATCTATACTATCTTTATTAGTCTCGAGAAATAGCTGATATATTTATATAATTTATAGAAAATTTAGTTAACCGCGTCAACGCCCAAAGCGACCAGAAAATTAACTAAAATACTTTTGAATAAATTTTCTTTTAATAAATAATCGAGTAGAGTAATTAAGAAGACTAGACACGTCTTATTTAGCTGGACGTAGATCGCGGATAAAAAGAAACTGTCCCCGTATAGAAGCCGCTGCGCGGAGACCTCTATTTAATCAAGAGTAGTTAACTAAACTATTATTAGCTAATAGCAAAATATAATTAGCTAATCAAAACAGCTAGTCTAATAGACAAAGTAAATTAAACGCTGCTATACCTACCAATAGCGCTAGTAAGTAAAGGGCTTAAAATAAATCTAGATCGGGTAATCCCAGATCCCGGGTTACTATAGAAAGCTATTAATCTAGATCTAGTTAAACTTATTTACTTAGCGATTTTCGATAGTCTAGTATATACAGTTAATCAGCTACGTAAAGCTTTAGCTAAACTAGACCAGTAGAGACTTGTAGAATAAATAAAATAAAACTATTAAGGCTGCAACGGCTAAGAAAAAATAATTATAAAAATATTTTAACTACTGTATTAGCTTTAGTTAAAGAGAAATCTTAGTTAAGTCGCCCTACACGGAGATCTACTAGTTATTTATTTAGTTTATAGCTAGATTATAGTTAAGGTTAAGATTAATCTAGATCTAGATAAACGCTACGCGATTTATCTTTATAAATTTCTAGAAAAGTTACTTAACCTATACCAAGAACTAGATCTCAAAGAAAGTACTATTAATTGTTAAGGGAAAAAATCGCTGGCAATAAATTGAACGTTCTAGTAACTCGAGGTCATTTAGCAGTCGTTAATCTCTGTAGCCTACCTAGGTCATCTCGGGATAGACGCGTAGGAGATAATTATATAAGATCTCGCGCGCGTAATAGATATACGGGTAGTAAATATAGCTGAGGCCTAGGAAGACTAGGAACCCCGGTACAGGAGCGCTACTAGAGAGAGAGAATATATAAAGCTTTTGTACTAGATCTAATTACAGTCGCTGAAATATAGTAATTAAAACTACTTAGTAGAGTACTAGAATTGCGGTAGTAGAATACTTATTATATTATTAGTAAAGATAGCTCTCCAAACGCCGTGGATAGACTATATATTAATACGATATATAGATCTAGATATAGTATATAAAATTATATAAAAAGAGATCTATATTTCTAGATTTATATATATATATATATACAATATCGAAAACAGTTCTATAAAAAAGAGAAGGACTGGAAAAGACTAGAAAAGATTAAGAAAGTAGATATACCACGTTTTAAAGGGTAATATTCTAAAAATTAATTTATAATATTACTAAATATATATATAACAGTATACCGATTATATTAGATAAGAACTCTCTATAGATAATATAATACCGAGAGTTATTTAGATTTATTGACAATTATTATCGATTTCTTATACTTATTATTATAGCGGGATTTATTAAATAAGATATCTATTAATAATAAAATTTCGTGGAAGGGGATTAAGAAAAACGATAAGAAATATAAAAAAAAAGAGATATTTTAATTAATTAATTAATTTATAGTATTGATTTCTAATAAAGCTTAGCTAGATATATCGCTGGACAATAAAAGATAATAAACGGGGAACGACGATAGATATATTACCACGCACTTTGGCAGCGGGAATACAGGAGAACACGAAAATTCGACCAATCTACGGGCCCGGATGCGGGATGCACCCTACATCCCCGACGTACTAGGGTATAGGGTGCCAAGAGCTGAAGGGAGCTGTGCGACCAATCAAATCAACATATGATGCAGTTCCTGGTTTTATTGTTATGATACTAGCTGTAATACTAGCTGTAATACTGTTATACAGCCAAGTGGACTGGCGAGGTTCGTTCATGGCTGAAGTTCATCAAAGGGGGAAAAAAAAAAAAAAAGAGACACGGCCGAATGAATCAAAACTGGATATGTTTACGTACGATGAGCGAGCCATCACATTCGGGCTGAACTTCGGCCCCGCTCGAGCTTTCAGCTCTTATAGAAGCTGCAACCATCGTGATTACTTGGTATACCTTGCTATATTCCCAACATAGAATACATGATGCAGCGATGCTTTCGTCCACTTCACATGGCCAGCAGGCTGGCCAAACCGCTCAGTATGTCCATTCGTGTGATTCCCAGTACCTGCAGCTCATGATTAGACCGATGCATGTCCACAATCCCATACCTCGCCGTCCCAAGCCTAACGCACGCCTCCCAAAGAACGCACATCAACGCCGTCCATCACATTCTCGAAAATGAAGGGATTCTGCACGTACAGCTCGGCTTCCCAGATGACAAGAGCTCTTATATCCAAGAACTGCTGTTAAACCTGCACAAAACCCACAACCATGGCCTCCCTCTCACACACAGTGCCGATCGTGGTTGGATGTGGGATATTCGGCCAAGTTTGGAGATGTTCCAGAGCAATAACCACCAGGCCCGGTCAGAGACCATGGAGCAGTTTCCCTGGCATACAGACTGCAGCTATGAGGGTCAACCACCGAGATTCTTTGCCCTCCAAGTCCTGCAGCCAGACCAGTGTGGTGGGGGCACATTATCCGTGTTGAACGTTGACCAACTCCTTACTCTGCTTTCGCCATCTGCGAGAAAATGACTCTCCACACCGAACTATCGGATCGAGGTCCCCCCAGAGTTCGTCAAGAACCCGAATGAAAAGGCTATCATAGGCAACTTACTCACCATGAATGCCAACGGCAAGACCCAACTCCGATTCAGAGAAGACATCACCTCCGCCCTCTGTTCAGAAGCAGCAGAAGCATTGCGAGAATTTAAGTGTGTCCTCGGTGCTGCGACGAAACGGCAGATCCTCAATCTTACAGCGGAACGTTTACCCCGGGGATCGATTATCATGATGGACAATGGACGGTGGTTGCATGCTCGCAATGAAGTGAAAGATCCGAATAGGCATCTGCGACGGGTTCGTTGGGATGCACGGGAATTCGCGAATCCTCCGCAGCTGGGTCGGTGATCATGAGTCTATGTGTAAAAGCGGTGTAGAATATATTTTGTTTATTAAGCTATCCAATGCTATAATTAGTGTCATTTAGAGTATATATATCAAGTCAATCTGGTTTGCAGTTCTGCGCGTATATGCTCGGATCTACCTGCTCAGTCTCACCTTAACGGTCACACCTTTTTTAGAATCCACTTTCAAAAGAAACACCCAAGAATGTTCTAGGAGCCGTCTACACGTCTACCCAATATTGACAACAAGTCCGGATACCAGGCGCAATCTGACCACTGGTTGTTAAGTATAATTGACCCTATTAACCTAACTTAACTTAGCTAAATGCCACTCTAAATATAACTATTACTATTATTTATATTTTGATAAAAAATCTTTTTTTACTTTTCGTAAAAAAAAGAAAAGTAAAATTAATAAATTTTAGAATTCTATATATTTTAAATTCTAATAATAATAGAAAAGATAATATTAAATTTTATTTCAGTTGTTATTTTTATATTTAAATATCTTTTTTAATATATCTTTTTTATAAATCTTTAATAAACCTTTTATAAGTATCTAATATAAAAATCTTTATAAATTTTATATTTCTATTAATTTATTAAATTTAAAAAATAATATTATTTATGAAAAAAATTGTTAACTACAGTTTTTTGTATATTATTCTATTGAATAGCTATTTAAAAAACGCAGTGGTTATATTAAAATCTATTAATTTATTAAAATTAGCGCTCTATCTATTCTATAGTTAAATATAATCTTTAATAATATTAGATATATAAAAATTATATAATTTATAATATTAATATTATTATATTATAGCACTTTCTAAATTAAAAAACATTTTTATTAAACTTTTTCTGGTTTATTTCAAGTTTCAATTCTAAGTTTAGGCTTTAAAAAATATTAAATATTAGGTTTAATATTTAATAATTTTTAAAAATAGATTTATTTAACTATTTTCTCTTAACTTTTAAATATATATCCCTTTAATAAAAAAAATTAAATAAATATAAATATCTTTTATATCTCTAATCTCAGGCGTAAAAATATTATTACATTAAATTAATAATAGAAATTATAATAATAAATTAAAAATTAGATTTTCTTTATATTTAATTATAAATCTTTTTCTATATTTAGATAAAAAATTTAATACTAATATTATTATAATAAAATAAATAAAATATTATTGATATAAATAACTTTTTAAGTACTTGTTACGCCCGGGGCTTCGTTGTTAAGTCTGAGACCAGTTAGCGGACCACGTTTCGGTGGTTACTAACCTAAAGTCGCTCCTCGACTTCTATCGTTATAGGGATGTAATCGATACTAGACTACCGTTGTTATAAAAATATAGTCGATACAAGACTACTGTCGATACTAGACTACTATCGTCACAGAAATATAGTTAACATAAGATTACTATTAATACTAGACTCGAGTCTAAAAAACCAAGTCTATTAAATACGTATACTTAATAGTTAAAGAGTGCAAACGAGTTAAAACTAGTTATATTATTAAAAATAACTTCGTAATAATAATTTAAATTAATTATAAAAAACTAAACTAAGTATATAAAATAAGTATTTTTATATATCTTTTTTTATAATATCACTGCTACAACTCTTCGTATTAGTAATATAATATATTTTATCAGTGCTATGAACTTGTTATATTATTAATACGTGTAGTCGTATTACTGCTATAATACACGTGATTTATTATAGTAGCCGGTATTGATATTAGCAGCCCTTTCCAAATAATTACTAGATAAATAATTCGTTGGATACCTTCTATTTAGAAATTAGCTATCGTTATTCTATTGTTATTTTACCTTATATATCCACCTTTAATAAGGTGCGCTAGACAAGGGTCTGTAACAGTACTATTGGTAAATTATATATTAATAAATAATATAAATTTAAAAGCGATATATAAAATTATATAAAAATAAATCTATTACTTTATATTATTAAATATAAAAAGTAATTAAAATATAGTAAATATATTAAATATTAAATTAAAAAAAATAAAAAATTTATAATATATATATTATATTTATAATATAAATTAAAATTACAAAAAAATTAATTAAACAATCATTAACTAGTTAAATAAATAATATTCAGACATAAAAAAGATTAAAAAGAAAATAGATAATATAGACTATAAATGGATTACTATATATTCTTGGTAGTAGATATATATAAAAATATTAAAATTAGACTAACCAGCGGGCCTGGATACGAGGTATACGTACGTATCCCAGGTACTAGGGTATAGACCATATACCAACGCATCACCCATTCACTATAATATAATGCCCGACGTATTTCTCTTGTACTCCCAGTTCGTCAAAGCCCAATTCCTTAAAGACACCCTCTATGTGATGAACAGCCTTAGTATCAATTTTTAAAACATGCTCTTTCCCCCTCCATGACCATCTTCTGATCACCCCATTCTGTAAGAGCAGCTGCATAATATCAAAGGATTTAAACACTGCCAAAGCCAATGGTGACCTCTGTTTCTCGGTCCAGGCTGATGTCGAAGAGTCCACGTTCACATCAGCCCCATGCTGCACAAGGTGCCTCACAGATTCAACATCCTGGGTCCTAATCGCGTACTGAAGTGGATTCTCCCGGTTCCCAGGATCAATGTCATTCGGATCAAAGCCATGTTCTAGAAGCATTTTAAGAATGGCCGGCCTCGTCGCCCTGGGGCAATCATGTAGCGCGACCCATAGCGGGCCTTTGTATGGTCCCGAACCGTGCACGTGGCAGTCCTTCTGTCGTAAACACCACCGGACGATCTCCGCATCCCCAGTCCCTATAGCGTCGCGAAGCATGGCAGGAAACGCGACCGGGGCTTCACAGATTGATTCTAGATACTCCATCATATCCATATTGCGGGCCCGAATCGCGCCCCGCAGCGCCGTGTTAAGTGGGACCTGGGAATTGTACCCCCTCTGATTCTTTGCATACTCCAACAAAGCCTCAAAGAAGGCCCTATTTGCACAACGAGCTGCAATAATCCACGGCCTCCGATTATGATAACTCAAATATACCCAGCTAGAAGACACCATTGGGGAGTCGCGCGCGGCAAGGGCTGAGATTAGATCCCTGCTCCCGATTCTTGCGGTGATGTCGATAAGGTTAATACCAAAGCGAGTACTACCTTCAAAGACAAAGTTGGGTACTGCTGGCATTGCTGGAGTGTTATTCTGATCAAGTACGCGGTTTAGCTCTGCCACATCGTTACGGATAATTGCGATGGTTATTAGTGCCACATGGAGAGTCTTTTCAAGAGATTCTGTTTCCATATCGCGTAACAGTGACCATTCGTTGCCGTAACCTTCTGTAAGTGATTTGAGACCCCGGGGGCTGAAGAGGCTCCAGGGTGTGTGGCAGGACCAGGTGATGGCATCGATTAATTTGGTGATTAGGACGTCTTTTTCTTGTTCCGTTAGATGGGAGATAGAAGGCATCTGGAGGATTTCATGGACGAATTTTGAGAAAACACAGGGGTATTGGTGGTGTTGGTGGATCCTCTGTCTAAGGAAGCGGTGCTTGTACGGGAATCGCGACCAGTGGGAGTAGATAAGATTGTTGTCCGCAAGGCGAGGACTTTTTAGTATAAGTAAGGGGATTTCACTCGCAAATATAGCTATCGCTAATGTTAGTTGGTATGCTCTAGAGGATGATTATTATCGATACATACAATCTACTAGTCTCGCTCTCAGCAGGTCTTGGACAGGGAAGATATCGACCATCTCCCATAAAATAATGCGTAGGATATCAAATGGGACCCGCATTCTGCTTTTGACACCTTCAAGGGTTTGTCTAAGAAGAGAGGAGCCACACTTATCAAACCTTTTTCGGCGGTCGTTGCTGCACGTGCGTGTGGTATGACGTTGAAGTGCTTAAAGGAACGGTGTTAAATAGAACAAGCACGCATCAGTAAGGCTGTGCAAGGCGCTATAGACAAGTCGTTGCCATTGTCCTTGCAAATTAAAATAGCCTTAAAGAGATCCACAAATCGAATTTATTCAACGAAGACTAGTCTAGCTTCCTAATCTCGACGTCTGCGAGTGTGGATGACCAACCCCTTTTGCTGCCCCGCTAATGTTGGAACATACGTTCTACTGCCCTATTGGTCGAGACTCGCTTAGTCATCATATCCGTTTTAGCTGAGCCTGCGGGCCCCACTCTCACTCCACTACCCCGTCCCCACCACCCCGTTACCCCATCACCACGGAATATTTTAGCAATTCCACGGCCCTAGGCAAGGTTAATTGTTTAAATCTTTTGTTCACCTCCAGTATTATCGTCCTGATTACGCTCAAATACCTTCAAGTGACCTTCGTGAGGCACGTCTTGCCGCCCGTGCCGTCCTCGAACGACGAGGACAGCTCAGCTTTAAGCCTGCCAGCTCCGCTAAATGGGTTGACATAAAACGAACTTGGACCGGTATGCTCCACGTCCAAATTGAACATGATACAATTCATGGCTGCACGCCTAGCATGATACGATAGTGGTTTGAGAATCTGGGGAGAAAGACCACCTGGGATTCTCCGCTGCAAGTAGGGTCATCATCACCAACCTTTCTGTCAAGTTGTCTGCCGCGGCCATGGTTGTATGTAAAGAATGGGCATGTCAATTTATGATCGCTATTCGACGTAGATCCGAAGTACTAGACTTACACAGCTGGTCGAATTACAAAGGAAATTTGTTACGCATGACACCAAGAGAGTGTGGTAAGATCTTTACAGTGAGTAAGGTCACATGTGTTCGGAATCGGCATGGGATTTGCGCTATGTGGTTAGCTACCGGAATAGCTGGGTCAACGTACACATTATGCTCTCAGTGATATAAGGTGGTTTAAGTATGGTGCCCTATTTTATAAGTCAAGTGGCTATCAACGTCTTTCATCTCTATGATAATGTGTGACGTTGGCTAATGCTTCCAGATATATAGCGAACGCCAACTTTAAGTATATCCGATATTAAGGCCCAATGATAGAGATTTTTCTTGTTACAACAATGGTTGGAGGAAGGTTTCTCCGAACAAGCTCTCGCCGTTACATCTTCGATGACCGAACATACCCCACAGCCTCACTGTAAACATCACAGAACGCTGGGGGATTCCAAAAGCCACGGTGCCATAGCTCTCGTAGCCAATGCTTTCAACTCAACGTTTATCTGGCTTCTATTTTTGAGGGTGATACCGCAGACTCGGGGTAGGTTGACGTGAGATTCGCAGTCTGAACAGACCCGCAAACTGATAACTTGACTAATATGAATCTTGATGTGATGTGAATGAATAGTCATCCCCTCAGCTCGAGCCTCCCTGATAAGCTACTGCTGGATCGATTTTAGTCTCACCCGGACGAAGCTCAAGCACCTCCTATAAAGCCAATCAAGCATATGGACAATGTCACCGTTACACTCAGCTCTCTCGTAACTTTGGGGATTGGCATTCGTGACATAGTTGATGCTGTCGAACGCTTCCATCAGCTACTGCATGGATTGACCTTCCCTGATCATCATGATGCTGTAGTTGGGGTAGCATTTATCTGCGCCCCATTCTGCTTTTCATCTCTGCTGTGCTCGCGACTGATCGTGACAGTTTCCGTGCAAGTAGCCACTGCGAGTGATACGGGAAATATCGGAACTCGCACAGCTAGACTGGGGGCTGAGGATGAGAGCCCATGCGGCTAGAAGTTCCGATTATCGCTCAGGGTGATGTTGGTATTCGCGGAATTGCCATTCGGGTACTTTGAGGGGGCAATGCGTACTTTCAGAATTAAAGGAATAAATCAATATTAGATCGCTCCCAGTTCCAAAGTTCATTGCAGGATTCATTAACTACTCAACCTCCTAAGATAATCCCTGTACCCTGGTATAGCGGACCTCGAGGATTGAAGTTGGGACCTTGCCTACGTCTGCTTGCCTGGTTGACAAGTCTTCTACCTTAAATAGTACATATCTCTGGTATACAGTTCACGAGACTTGCTATATTGACTAATCTAAACATATCTATTTGGAATCTATGGGTTTAGTGTCTAATCTTGGACCCAACTCGCCAATTCACGGATTTGAGTGAGGACCGTAAGAGAAAAACACCTGCGAAAGCCTGGGGTGAACCTCGTTTTAGAACCGTGGGAAATCAATGTTTTCCGGGTGAAGATACTCAACCATATCCACACTGGAATCAGACTCCCCTACAGTCAAGCCGTTACCGATCCACGCCATATCATTTCCACTGATATACGTGTAGTCGTAATCTTCGAAGCGGGGCTTCTCCAAGACCTTCACAAAGTGGATAGACGATCCAGGCCAGAGAGCAGTGACGGGACCATTCTCAGTCCCTCGCTTGTACCAGGAGCGACAAGGTAGCGAGAACACTGTTTTCTTGAAAAACTGCTCGCAATATCTCTTGAATGAGTCACAGCTTTCTCGCTTCGGCTGAATTGTTGCGATGCGATCTTTTTGCATTTTCGCGATAACGGAGCAGACATAATCGCAAGTTCGTTCGAGGACAATGACAAGAGATCCAACTCCAATTCCAGAGCTTGGGCCATGGGCAAAGAAGAGATTCGGCGCGCCGTGTGTGCTTAGGCTGATGTAAGTATCAGGGTACTGCTTCCATCTCTCGCACAGGTCGAGACCGCCGCTTCCATAAATTGGAAATCGCTTGGAAAAGCTAGTGTCAAAACCCGTTGCACAGACAATGGCATCGACCTTCCTTAGTGTACCATCGATCGTGACAATCCCCTCTTCTGTAACGTGGGAGATCGCATCCGAGATGAAAGACACATTGTCCTCGCTTAACGCTTCAAGATATCCAGGACCAGGTGTAATACGTCGACAACCGGGGGCAAAAGATGGGAGAATCTTGTCAAGGATCTCCGGCTTCTTAAGCAATTTTGTGGTCATGTGTTCCTTGAAATCAGAAGCTGCCTGCTCTGCAAGCTCGCCACGCAGAAGATACTTCGTCATCGACTGCACTTCTGTCTCCAGCCGTTTGCGATATGCCAAGAGCGTCTCTGGATTTTCTTTGAACTCCTTGATTTCCTCTGGCGTAAAGTTGAAATTAGCACTTTCGGCCGTGTGCTTGCGAACTTCATCCTGGGCCCATGGGGGAGCGATCCAGGTTTGACCCCTAACATAATTATCGATTCGCTTGGTCTTCGGCTGAATAGCTGGGACAATTTGGATCGCACTTGAACCAGAGCCAATAACCGCGACAGAAAGACCCTCTGGGTTCCAGCGCTCATCCCACGATGCACTGTGGAGGAGCTTGCCCTTAAAGGTTTTAAGACCTGGGATGTCAGGCCACTTCCAATCATTCAATGCCCCGATGCATGCGTACAAAACATCGCAGCTGTCTTCAATAACCTCCCCAGTAACGCAGTTCTGAACGACCACATGCCACTTGGACTGTGAGTCATCGAACCTTGCCTCCACAATCTTGTTGTTGAGTTTCATGTACTTGCGCACATCGTACTTCTCGACGATTCCTTTCCAGTATTCGAGAATTTCACCACCAGATGAGTAGAACTGGGACCAGCTGGGGTTCGGTTCAAATGATGCTTGGTACACGTGGGACGGGACATCTGAAAATGAATGAGGAAGGGATCAAAATATCGTGGTTTCTTTCACATACCACATGCCACTCCTGGATACCGATTCTCATACCAAGTACCGCCGACTTCAGGGTTCTTGTCATACACGACGAGATCCAAGTTAGGGATACGCTGAGTGAAGCGAATGGCTGCAAGGATACCGGAAATTCCTGCACCGATAACGACGACCTTCATAGGACGCATATGATCAACCTTGCATCATGTTAGACCTGAAAGATTGCTCATACGACCAAAGATTAGGTGAAATACTTCGCCGGTACTCTCATCACGGGGGACAAGGTCAGCTTCTTTGGCAATCATTGTGGCGGAGTTGTTCAAAGCTTTTGAGTAGTATAATCTCTGTTCACCAACGTTCAACAACAGTCTCCAGTTATAGGAAATTCAGTTAGCTTAAATAGGCGAGACCAGTCAGGCCGTACTCTCAGTTCTTGACCATCCATGACTCCAACCGAATACCCGAATGTCCGTCGGCTAGAATTCGCGACAGCCAACCTATTGTTTGGCCTTTGGTAAATAGGCTTTCCATACATACATTGTGGAGTTCCTGGTTTCCCCAAACGCGCGCTTTCGTGCACAGTGCAGAACTATTGGACTTCAAACTTCTAGAGCTGTTCTGATCTCAGGGTAAAAACATAGCAGTAACAACTGAAGGACCTTTTAAGGCAAATATCAACGATTTTCATTTAACAACTCTTGTCTTTTGCTGGTTTCAATATCACTACATCGTACAACAACTCCGCCAAAATTATAGTTGTCAGCCGAATGGATCAGCCACCGTAGTGAGAATCTAAGTGGGCTTAATTGGCCCTGATGGACTGGGCATTAAGGAATGGGGTCATCCTCCTTCGTCGTCAGGTCCGACGGAGCTCTTGGAACATTGGCACTAGGAAGGGTCCAGTGATCTGGTCCTTCGTGGCCAAGTCCGACGGAGTTTCCAAAGCATCGCAAGGATAATATACAGTACGATCAAGCCTCGGCAGTTTTGTTTGGACCGACGAAAACTTAGCTGACTTTGATGGTCGCTTGCTGAGAGGATCCATGTACCGACCACCTTAAAGTAAGCTCTCCCTTTGCTTCTCATGACCGTGGTCTCTCTCCTAAAAAGAACGCTGCAATAGCGGGATTTCTTGAAATAAGATGCTACGAAGACCTGGTAAAATCGAACTAAACGTAATTAAAAAGGCACAACTTGGCTGTATTGTGGAATATAAAGCTATGAGAACCAGAGGATATCCAACCTCAAACAAGCGACAGGTACGCATATACATGAGTTGCACAAATGCCAATCGACGGAACACCTTTAATTGCGCACACCCTATGCGATCTTCTGTGAAACCCACTCGACAATAGTATCCATCATCTCAAATGACAGCCAATGCCCAGTATTCTCGAAAACGTTGAAGGAGACATCATTCTGACTGGCATTCCTCTCAACCCAGGGCAGAGTGAACTTGTTTGGAACAAGCATATCAAGGGCGCCATTCAAAATCAATATGCGTTTGCCATTGATCTGCTCAAGGCTTTGGTCTCGAGCCTTGTACATTGCCGAAATCGACTTGGGCCACTTCGTTAAGCCAGTGCCATCTTCGCTGTCTGCTGCATCGCCAAGCCGTTCGGTGAGCAAGTCCGTCAAATTGGGGGAGCCCACGATAATAATGGCGGCTTGGATCCCTTCCACCTTAGAGAGTATGTCCCATGCAGTGTGACCACCAAGTGATAGTCCTGACATAACAAACTCGGTTGGTGTGAACCGATCTCCTGTGTAAACTTTGAGATACTTCATCACGGCTTGAATGTCGAACACATTGCCATCTGTAGATAAGTTGTTAGACAAGGTGTACGACTATCTCAGGGCTGCGAACCTATCATGGCAAGCATGTCCTGTCTAGTATGGTGTAAGTTTGTGAATCTATGAAGAAGGAAGGTAAATGTTGGAGTGGAAACGCACGCGTGCTTCGGGTTTCCTCCGTTCCAGTCCTGACTTCATGATTGTCATTAATATAAGGCTGAGCATCAAGGCAATATAGTTTTGCAATCCTTACGTAGCTAGTGAGTCGATCTGTAGCATGACGGTTAGAAGTGACTCTCAGAATAGTCGTTAAACGCGTGGGGGGCCATGCCGCTCTTTCTCCATGGTTGCGACTGTCAAAAGTTGCCACCACGAAGCCTTTAGCCAGATTTTTCATTTGCTTCAACTGGAAAAGAAACTGGTGGGCGAACAGTTCAGCATCTGCATAGCTCCTTGTCCGGCCATGCACATGGAAAAGAACCACTGTATCTTCCGCCTGTTGCGGGGATAGCTCGTCAACCCCGTATATATACACGTGAAAGCCAGCAATGTTGATTGTCATCTTGCTGGATTTTGTTGTGCCCTCAGGCAGCTTGGTGAATGGCCGGCTCCGAAGCGACATGATGGGTTGTGATGGCAGTAGGGTTCCGAGGCAAGGTTTGAGTTGAGGCAAGACAGAGAAATGGGGGTTTTCTGATTTATAGACGGTCGGGGCTCAGCGCGGAGCTTAATCACCACGGCAGGTCCCTTCCGCTGTTTACCGCGGATGCCAGGTTCTAATCTGCCATGACTGCACCGTGTGCATACGGTGAGCTGAATACAATACGGGGTTTTTGCGCTCCAGAAAGGATACCAAGGCATGATTCGAGGGGCAAAACTATCCGCTCTTTTTGGGTCTTTTGATCCGCGACTGCGAATGGGGTTACGGGTTGAATGAAATAAGGTAGCCGACTGAGAGAGTGGAAATATCCTTCCTGCAACTAGTATTACCTGTACCATTACATATCTCGACGAATCTATGAGATGTCTTTTCTAACTTATTGGCATACCACTCACTGGTGAATCACAATCAAATGGATATAGATTCCGGTGCAGCTTCGAAGCCCGAAATCGCCTTGATAACCGCAGTGAAAGGTACGGTCGCCCAAGTTAAGATGGAAATTATAGAGAGCCTCAGTCAATTGACACTATCTATCAGACTAATCCAAGGCTAGTAACGGACATCGGAAGGAGTCTATCACGACGTACCCCAATCGCAGGTCCGCGTGTATCTTACGGCGGGATTGCAGGAAACTTTGACAACTTCACAGCTAGTCTCTACGCTACCGAAGACCCATATTCGACAAGACGCGCATCATGCCCAGAATGAGGGTACGCCCCAGCCTCATGAGCCAGGTGGCGATCTATCTGCCCGTCTGACAGCGATGATGGGGGTGTTGCTTTCGTGCACATTGTTTACCGTAATGATTTATTTGCCAATGCAAACCTAGTTCAATTGGTGGTTCGAACAGATCCTGGGAGCTTATATGACACAGGCCAGCTTGCCCCTTGTCTGATTACTCTCCAGCAACTTATGAGCCTGGACGATCTCAGTAAATGGGAACACCTTCTCTACAAACACCTTGAAGGTCCCATCCTTTAGCCTCGGAATAACATGCTCCACCATGGAATCCCTAAGCTTCCGCTGGTATTCCAGCTCCCGACTGCGGAGCGTACTACCCTCGACGCGAAGTCTCTTAAATAGCAGTCCACCGATGTCCACACCATTCGGCAACTTTGTCCCGCTCATCAAACCTAGAAGGACAATGCGGCCATCGCGCGCTGCGACGTCTATGTTGCCCTGGAAGTAGTTTGCTCCGACAAAGTCAACGATCAAATCAACGCCCGCGCCGTTCGTCACCTTCTTGATCTCTGCCGCCCAATCTTGGGTCTTGTAGTTGAAGGCGGCTGTCACACCAAGCTCGTTGACGAGGAAATCACATTTCTCCTGGGAACCAGCTGTCGCATAGATAGCTTTGGCACCCTCTGCTTTAGCGAGCTGAATACCACAGATAGAGACAGATGAGGCACCGGCGTGCCAAAGTACGGAGCGGCCGGGCTGAAATTGTCCGATGATGTGGAGGGCTTGCGATGCAGTGATCCATGTCTACAAGATTAGCGGAGTTTTCGGTTGCCAGTTCAATGCATGTCTCACCTCTGGAACACAGGCAGCTTGTTCCCATGAAAGTTCCGCTGGTTTATGGACCAGCATCCCTGTATCGACGACGATGTACTCCGCATAGGCTCCTGCGAGGGGTTAAAACAAACATTCACCACAAGGGGTCAAGGGGAACAACAACCTCCATATGCAAGACCGAACACAGCATCCCCAACCTTGAAGGCGCATTCCGCGCTAGCATTGACCGATTCCACCGTGCCGGAGAACTCAACACCCATGGTTTCTGGCGCCTGCGGCGGAAGAGGGTACAGACCCTCTCTCTGCAATAGGTCCATGCGGTTTAGTCCAAAAGCCTTGATTTTAATCAATGCCTGTCCCGCTGAGGGTGTTGGCTTTGGAATCTGCTGGATAGACATGGCGTCCGCGGGGCCTTTGCCGCCCTTGACGACTTGTTGTCATTAGCATAGCCCTGCGTGATATTGTTGAGGTAGGGGATCCATCGCATACCGACTGCTCTCATTTCTGACATGGTGACTTGTTTGTTGGAAGGTAGGTATGCCAACCAGAGTGTACGTAGAGGTTGAAACGCGCAGGTTAAAATATTGGTTTTGTAGTGGATTTTGGGGAGGATTAAGTAGCGAGGATGACGTAACTAAGAGAACTCACTCATATCCACTTTGCACACCAAGTCCGACGGAGGCAGCGGTGACCTCCGCGGTGGTGCCTTAGCTTTACCGAGGATGGAGGATATGTCACCCAAATCCGTCAGATTATCTGTCACATTATATAACCCATGCTCTTTTAAGATTTCAGTCACAAAAACGCAGTGTGCTCCTTCTTGATCATCTCAACTTGATTTCCCCAAATCAGCTATCCTGATTAACAAGGACGTATCGATATCTAGCCGCCCCTTTCGCCATATCCACGATCGCCGCATTTGCCTCCTTCATCGGCCTCTCGGTCACCCACGGAACCACACTCTTGTCGACAGCCAGCTGCAGCATTTCTCGAATCTCATGCGGTGCACCGATAAACGAACCCGCGACTTTCGCAGAGCGTGAGGCCAGCAGGCCTGCTCGGAACGGGGGAAATTTGTCTTCTGGCAACCCTATCTGGACGAAACAGCCGTCGGTGCGGAGGCAGGTCAGGTAGCTTTCTATTGGCATCTGGTGTATCATCAGCATGCTTTTACCAGCAATGGGACGGGTTGCATGATGTTTGGGTGAGATTGCGTATACCATACCTGTGAGGAGGATACTGTACAGATAAGCAGATCCAGAGTCATCGTATGAGACGCAGCCCAGTCCACATCTTCCTCGGTGGCAACATATTCGTCCGCCCCCAGACGAACAGCATCCTCTCTTTTATTTGACCGTCGGGAAATGGCAACAACCTTCTCTGCACCGAGCGCCTTCGCCCACAGAATTCCAAAGTGTCCCAACCCTCCAATCCCAATAATTCCCACATTCTTCCCAGGTCCACAACCGTTCCTTGTCAACGCAGAGTAGGTAGTGAGGCCAGCACACATCATGGGTGCCGCATATGCCGATGGCAATCCGTCGGGAACCCTGAAGACAAAATGCGACGGCGCGCGATGGTACCGTCCGAATCCGCCGAAGGACTTATCGCCGCTCAGATACCGACCATTATAGGTTCCGGTGAGGTGGACGTGGCAGTAATTCTCCCTCCCACTCGCACACTCCTGGCATACACCCCGCCGACAAAGACAAGCGTCACTCTGTGGACCAACAGCCACCCGATCACCCACCGAAATACCATTGGTAACACCTGACCCGACGCGCATAGCTACGCCGACGATTTCATGTCCAACGCAGCAGGGATACTCGGCTGGTGACTATAGGGCATAAGTCAGGCCCTCTCACTAAAGAACAGCAAGAGGCTTGAAGCAAGACATACCCAGCTGCTGCGCAGAGTACTTAGGTCAGAGCTGCAAACACTACAATGTGTAATTTTGATGTCGATGTCAGTTTCGTCCCATGTCTTGGGGGTGTAAGGACCCCATATCATCTTTCCATCTGCGGAGGTCGGGTCGTGGCCTAGCCAGCCTTCAAATTGCGGTGTTGGATTGGTGGTCATGTTGTCCGCTATAGGGCTTTTATGGTGTCACTGGTGGTGGAACGGTTTCTTTAACAAGCTGAGAGGAAGGGTATCGAGTCCAAGAGCTAGTCGCGAAGGTCAAGGATACGTACGTCCGGACAAAGTGATACTGTGACAAATTCGAGTTACTTCTCGGCCCAGGATGCAGCTCACGCAGTCGACATATTCACGTTTTCAGGTGGCAACGACCACACGTCATTAGATAGCAGCGAGTGACGGCGTAGAACCAAAGGGGGGCATGACGTTCAAGCCCACAGTATGAGAAACGCGAACCGAAGTCCAGGTGATGAGCATGGAGCATTTTGCCTCCGTCGGACGGTCTGTCCATGGCTCACTGTAGACGCGGGGTGAGCTTAAACACCTTTGTTCCGCCCAAGATACCCACCATCTTACAACAAACGCCCCACACGATTCATCGCCCAGTCTCGACTTCGTATTTGAGTTCAATGTCCGACGGAGTCAGGAGAACTGACTTATTCGACGTATCGGAGGGGACCGCACCTGCCCTCGCGCTTTCTGACAAATGATCCACGAGTGCTAAACGCTTGACTGGTTTAGGACTAGCCTCCGATGGAGCTTCAGCGGATGAGCCATCGTTATTCTCCAATGCTCCGACGGACTTGATCATCAATCTGGTCTCTGCGTATAACCATGGTATTCTTGACAGGACAGCAACGATAACGATAAACGCACTGTGGATATTACAGCTCTGTAGTTGGGTTGGGCTTGTTGGAGCTCCGCTGTCACAGCCCACTTGCATGCTATTCGCAAGAGTGCAGACAAAATAACAATTTACTGGCATTCCATGTAGACACCCAGATTATATATTCATATTTGTCTTCAACGAAATCAGAACACACTGACCACTTATAGAAGTCTGTGTTATTATCCGGTGGATCAATCCCGCTTTGAAATGCTTGCCAGTTTATTGCCCACCCCCAAAGCACTACTTACCATAGAGACGGCACTAATTAACTTGCAACTACATATGTCCGACAGGCACGATGGCTGAACATAGCCAATGGTTGAGTTCGCCCAGGCTATGTATATATATTGTTCCAACCGGGGTTAACCGGCGATTGATCACCAATGGAATTAACTGCGCTGGGTATAGGACTTTATACACCGATCTAACTATGCAATTAATAGAACGCAACTATCGATGTGAGTACGGTAGATAGCCGACCTCCCTTTTGAACTGGACCCACTGCGATCGCAGGTGGTATATTTGTCAAGACCCTGGAAGACACGATACCACATCAAGGACGCTCACTCGACTGAACGTATGCTATGAACCGCTGCTCAGAAAAACCCCCAGAACCAACGTCTGCCTTTTGCCTTGCCAACCCCGACAAGAGGTGAGAGAGCCCTGCATTTCCATCGTTCCATGCTTGGAGTGATGTACCTTCTCGCCGCAAGTGCTCTTAACCCAATCTAGGAATTATCTGCTCAACCGCACCTGGCCATGGCGATACTCCCACAGGCCCTGTCGTTCAAACAGCGCGCTTTGCATGGATTCATGTAGTGAGTACTATGCACGACTACAAAAAGGCCCGCTGGATGGATGATTCATTGCGGCAGGTGTCCCGGTGCTGGTTTCTGATGTCATATCCCATGTTTTGAACAATGCATGTGGATCCATTGATACTTTGAAAGTGCTTCTGCAATTGCTATGTTTGCTAATGGAATGGGGGCAAAGCGACACCGTGAAGCATACGCGTGGCCAAGGGTCAAGTTCGGCCAGGGGGGTAAACCAAGTCAGAAATCCACAGGGCAACCGAGCCCTACAAATGGTTAGTTTATTTGTCTCGGGCGAGTAGAGACAAATCCATCTTCCCTTATGTTATCACTATCGGACAGGGGTCGGGCTTAGACTTGTGTGATGGCTTTAGGCATTCAGTTACTGCAGGGTACTAAATTGAAACGAGGAGTTTCTCACCCATGAAGGCACACATGCGTAGACCGCTGAGTTTCCCACATCTCGAGACAAAGCGGCAAAAAGACCAGCATCATGAAATAAAATTGTCCAGAGCGTAAAGTAATGCGCAGGGCGCACCCAAATCATTATAACACCAAAATCGCTAGTGTCTCAAGGGAATATATTACCAAGTTCTGAGAACGATTGATACTCCAGATTATCTGACCACAGCCACATCTGGCTTGCATCTACGAGTCCAGCATCGACTAGTGCGGATACATTCCCATCCCATGAAAACATTGCTGCCGGGGTTGGCTGCTGCATTTCCACGGAACCTTGTGTGCTGTTGGAGTCAATCAAGCCAGGTGGATCAAGTGCGGGGAGAGATTGGTTTAGATGTTGCCTGAAGACTGTATAATTATGAGACAATGGCGTAGATCGCAGGTGGGAACAGCGCACTGACCTTGCTGCAGAGGATTGAGAGGTCCCGTATTTGAGGATGGCTGAGGTGCGCCTGTATCGTCGAGTAAGGCCCGATCGGGGATTATGGGATCCGCCTGCGGGAATGCTGAGATTGACTGGCCATCATCAAATCTCTCAGGTATAGGACCAACTGGCATGGAAGAGTAGCCCAATATAGCCCTTTCTTCGGAGCGCATAACGACTGTCACTAAATCCCGCAGGATCTGGACACTCTGAATAGAAAGCAGATGCCGGGAGGATATACTGTCATCTTGCAAGCGTAGGATACGCATGACGCCTTCTTTTGCCTTCTGGCTGGCTATCGACAGGGGCTGGGCTAATGCGATCGCACAGAGGACGACACCGGATGTGAAGAGGCAGATCCCAATGTGCATCACAGCGTGTGTCTTGCGGCAGGCTTGTAAAAGTTGAGCATGCTGATGCAGCTGGGAGGTTCTTAATGCGGACTCTAGAAGTTGCTGCTGGGAAAACGAGTTTTCCGGGTGTACGCCATCATTTGAATGAGATCCACGTTTGTTGACACCAAATGCAGCGCTGCGATGGAGGATGATCTGGAGATTATCGTACGTCAATTGGAGAGCTAGGGCCTGCATTTCAAGGATTCGTGATTCGCTGTTGGGATTATCTTTGTATGTCTCAAGCCGTAGTTTGTCAGGTAGTTGGCTCTTCCAGGAGGACAGTTGGGCATGAATGGCATTGAGACTTTCCAACTGGTTATTCTGGACTCGTCGGCTCAGAAATGGTCCCATGATGCGGTAAAGTTTGAACTTCCATTGGTGGTATTCCAACAATGGCCCTTGTCGACTTGTTGGATGGCTATCTGTTTCGATATCGCTAACAGACGCGACATCGCAGTTCAAATCATCCACTGTGCATGGTCTTCCGAAGGCTATAGCTGCGTATCTGCAGGCACCACTTTAATTAGCCATGACATTGCTGATCAGGATTCAGGATACATGCTTATCTGCAACTTGCAATGCCCACCACGAGCGCCGTCGAGACTCCCGTGACACGTCAGAAAGCCCACGCCACTTTGACTCGTGATGAAGCCCAATGACTTGGGCGATTTCGAGTCCACCTGCCAAGGTCACTAGGCCAGCAGTAGGGCGGCCGTTGAAAAGATAAAAGCTCCCTAGCAACACACATATCTGTACTGTCTCTAGCTTTGGCGAATCAGTGATGGCCAAAAGCCTTTGCTCGATCTGCATAAGGAGACCCCCAGAAAGCTGTTTGAGGCTATCGGCATCCGCATCCAGAGCATTCAACGACCCATAGTGGGCACCCAGACCAAGGACCAACAGTACAAGCCAAAGAAAATTACCGTTTTCTCCCTCTGGGATAAGAGTGGAGGCCATCAAATTTTCGTACCGTTGCCGGAAGCTTTCCTCGCAAAAGACCTGCCAGAAGACCATCAACATCAAGGCAATAGCGCAGAAACAATGTTGAGAGGGATACCATTATGAACCAATCCACAGACGTGAAGAAATCAGTCATGAACTTATCGAGCACTGTCTTCGGTGGCAAAGGCATGCCTGCTAAATCTCGCCAAGGGATCGAGCATGTGGCGACAGAAACTGCCGAGTTTATACCTCCTGGCAGAGCTGAAGTGTCGTGAGCCAGACCGCGGCGTTTCTCTTCATTTCCAAGCATCTATCAAATGAGTAGTTATGATGATAGGTTGGGCATGTCAAAACCAACCTGACAACTCAAATCCACGATGTTCGACTCCGGGAGCATGACAGCCTCATCGTAATCACGGCGGATGTCACTTTGGCGCCTCCGGAGAGAATCTCCAACTTCCTGCACTGACTCCGCTTGTCCAGAAATTGCACCTCCACGTGATATACACGTTGCACCGGCTCGCACACATAGTTGGCAAGGACGTTGTTGATCACACTACGGGGATTAGCCTGCATGTCCGAGACATCGAGAGCGGATAGCCAACCCACACCGAGCTTGCGTTGACGACATCTCTGACATGCAAAGGAGACTTTTTGGCGTTTCCTAGGTGGATTCATTGCCAGGTATAAAAAGATGACAGAAGCAGATGTTGGAGTTCGAGACTGATAAGGTGCACCGGCAATCGGGATTGATGGGACATACGACGCTAACCGTAAATGCACGGCTTAGGTAAGCGGCATGTCAATACAAAATGGCCATTGGGTATACCGTATACACCAGGTTGGTCTGGAGAACGAAAATAAGCGGTGGACTTTAAACCTTTTAGGAAGCTTGTGTTCAGATGGCTATCTAGGTGCCTAGCACTATAAATATTGAATAGGGAAATCAAGTTTAAAGGCCATCGAAGTAACTACTATACTGATAGGTAGTGTTTAACAATAGAAATATATAATGAAATCAGTAAAAAGCCCATTGATTCTTATATACCGGGAATAGTAGATATAAATATATAAATATCAAACATCGACTAATAAGTGGATACAGATGCGAAATATCTTTATGAATTCCAGGTACTACGGTAGAGGGGGCAACTCATCTTGAAATCGCAGTTTCAGAGCTCAATGCGACGAGACATACAGTCATTTTCGAAAATTATTGTTGGAAGTCTGTTAATTTCCCATATCCATTAATGGATAACAACCATAGACAAAGTCTTCTCTCCTTCCTCCCAACCCTCCCTTGCTTCGAATATCAACCCCCGTCAAAGTTATCAATTACTCTTCCTAGCCAGCAACGTAACTGGAAGCCAATAAAGCTGACTGCCTCCTGGATGACGACTGTCGTTGTGCAATGCCTCCAGTGCCTTCTCCCATTGATCCAAGGTAGGAGGAGATGGATCAACCTGCTTCAAATGGTCCAAGCTACCTCGTCTCTGCTCTGCTGTCTCAGAAGAACTTGGTGTCGCTCCCCACTGGTTCTGAGCCGGCTATCTGAGTACCCAGGTAATCCATTACTGCTGCCTTATCTAGACGTGCTGAGGGTGCCTTGCTGTTGAGCAGGACCATATCCAGGGGATTTACGGTAGAAGAGACGGCTATTTATATCGATACCGCAGGCAAAGTGGGGTCCGCAGAGCGCCTACTGCCAAGGTTGGAAGCAATGGGCAGACTCCTGGAGCTGTTAGGTCGCTTAGAGTCATGAAGGCTGATAACGGGGAGTCTATTTCGCACCGTCGATTTGATGCAGTGGATTATTCGTTGCGGGATTACGCAAAAGGTGGCAGTGCCGCTGTTAGCGTCGATCGAGGGGATACAGGTTCTAGTTCGACGATCACGCGAGAGTACATGCAGCCGCTGAAAATACACGATTGGGAATCTGAAGCTTCCCATATGCCGCCTACTCAGTATCTGTCGTGAGGGAGGATGGGAAGAGAGCACGAAATCTTACAACACCTGTGGATCCCTAAGGTGAGGGTATTATAGAGGCAATGCTGCACCTATGGCTCACATGAAATACTATAGTATCAGACAGAAATGGGCTGTCCTAGCTTACAGTTGTGGAAACGTTGATCATGTATATTGAAAGCGTTCATACGGGATAAGCCCAACGGTCATCCGTCAATACTCTTCATGTCACCAGTGCGAAAATACCAAATTATAACTGTCAACTCGATTTCACAGCTAGCGAAGGCGAGGGAATAGGTTCAGCGCGTTACCATAATTCATCTTCTCCGCCGCTTCATCCGAAATATCGGCTTTGGCCAGATCCTTGCTGAAAAAGTTGATGGAAGTGGTTGGTGCATAGGGAAAATCACTACCATAGAGAATGTGATCCGGTGAAGCGAATTTTTGCAGAAGTGGTAGAGCAAAGTTTGCGTCCGTAAGGGCCAGGTCATAGTAAAACATTCGTGCATTTTCCAGAAAGTGCTCGCGCGTCATGCTTGAGAGCCTGGTGTCCTTCAGGGCAATCGCTGGACGCAACGCAAGGTAAGGCAAGGTACCGCCGCCGTGAGAGAGTATAATCTTGCAGTTCTTGTATTTGCGGACCGTATCGGTGGTGATCAGATCGACAGCTGTCCGAGTGGTCTCGTGCGGATAGTCAATAAAAGGCTGTGGAAGCATCTTGTTGATGAGGTTCGTATCCACTGCATGGGTTGGATGGATAAAGACCACTGCGGCGCGCCGATCTAGCTCCTCCCAGATAGGCTGGATATCAGGATGGCCTAGGTAGTAGTTTGCGTCTCCATAGCGGGTGAAAAGGGTTACTCCGTCGGCTTGCAGCTCATCAAGGGCATATCGAATCTCCTCCAAAGCCGCCTGAGTATCGAGAACATCGGGCAGCGCAGCAAAAAACCCATACTTCTTAGGGTATTTATCCCTTAGCGTTTTGCCAAACTCATTGCATTCTCTCGCCACCTGGGTAGACTTAGCGCCCTTCACGATACCCGCACCTGGTGCGGTGACTGATAAGATGGCCGTTTCAATGCCATAGTCATCGCAAAGCTGTTGGTCAGCCTCAATGGACCAAGAGGGTGTGTGAAATCCAGAAGGATCGCCACCAGCCTCCTCGAGAGCTTTTCGATCAATCAGTTTGATTGAAACTGCAACATGTGCCTCAAGGGAACGCACCTTTCAGGTAGGCGGGGGGGAGATAATGATGATGAACGTCAATACGGCGTGCCATGGTGAAAGTTGTCAGCTGGGAAGATTAAGGGGAAGATGAAGTGCCGAGCGAGACCTGACCAGAACGGAGATTGTAATCCACTTTTATATATTCGCACCGTCTGAGGGGAAGACGGCACAAAAAGTCCGGTGAGTGCGTCATCAAGTGGGAGCCCTGCCGGATACACGGCCCCCCTGGAGAAGCTTTCTTGGCCATCTCGATCTGCCTGTCGTGGCGGCAATGGGGCTCCATGGATCCACCTATGCAGTGTACAGCAGGGTCTGTGAAGTTGTGCACCAAGAAGCAGCGCAGTGGATCCCGGGAATTGCCCTTTGCGGCAATCGCCGGGAGATGTGCATTCCACATCGTCCAAGGAGGAAATCTCCCGACTCCACCGCGCCCTCGCCCCGCGATATGACGGGTGTGAAGTCTCTCTCCTTCACGCATGCCGATGTACCCGGTCAAGGGTGTCTTAGTAGGTTTTATGAGAGAGCCCATGCCTCTATTCGTTCACCGGCTGATCCACCGTTCCGTCCCCGAGCTGGAGAGGACATGGTCGAACTTCCACCCAGCTCTTCTGGGTGTATTGATGATTCATTGTTACAACATTTGCATAGCGGGTCTGTACAGACTCCTAGCTGCTACTTCAGGGTTCCTCATCGTTCTTGGGCCGGCCCAACCAGGTCCAGACGCGAGAGGTTGTGCTTGGCGCGAACCATCCATGGTCGATAACAGCCTGTTTTGCCAGCACCACCAGCAGAAAAATGCAATAGGGATACTATCCCATAAAAGGATTAACATAAACTGGAGCGGAAGGGGTAGATGGGTAAGCACGAAACACTAGTCGCCAGGAGGACCAGGTCGCCGAGAGCTAATCTGCAATGCCTCCATGATGTAAAACCTCGACTGCCTGAAATACGAAGCCAAGGTCACTGCCAACCGATCACATGTTGAAAAACCTGGGGTAGAGAGCGCGCCGGCCACCAATGAAGACCAGTAAACTCGATTTTTTGATTGTGGCCACTGGAGCAGACGCAGAAATGCGAGATGGTCGTGGCGGGGGTGGGCCGTGTGGGAACTGATGCTGCAATAGTCCCCACATGAGGTTATTATCTGGAGACGGATTGAGCATTATCTTGACTTCCCACCCCTTTCCACCTACGCGTTGATTGAGATACGTTGCCCACAATGGATACTCCCAGTAGCTTTGGTATCCTGTCAGACTTCCACTACACGCCATGTTCGATGAGCTCATCAGGGCGGCCCTTGTCCCGCCGCGCCTGCAACGAGTGTCGCAGAAAGAAGACGCGATGTGACTCGCGCCATCCGAAATGTTCCCTTTGCGCCAATACCGGCAGCACTTGTACCTACCGGAAACAACAGCAGAGAAAGCGCGTACGCAGGCTTTCCCCAGCCGCCAGCAGTTCCTCCGTAGACATTCTAGAGTCGGCAGACAGCGGGCTCAACACGAGACAGGGCCTCTTCGGACTGGAGGGGTTCGATGCATTGGATGATCTCGACACTATCCTTTGCGACTTAAAGAGCATAGATGACCAACCAAGAGGGTCTCCAGAGCCCATGGCCGCATTCGGTTCTTTTGGAGCAGCGCCTGGGCTAAAATCAATGCTCCAGGAATGCTTTCCAACTCCAGTGGAGCCAAGCCCAATGGAATTCGGAACCGAAACCGACAACTACGATAACTTGTCAATCAGTTCAGACCTCGCGGACGAATTGATTGACTTGTACTTCGAGAAGGTCCAGGGGATTTGCCCACTCTTCATGCGGGAAAAGTTCGACGAGGATTACCGACCTCGCGGGACATGCCGAGACGAGCGATATTGCAGATTATCTCCAGTAGCCATGTTTGTCCTCAACGGTATGTTTGCTCTTTCTGCAAGGTACAGTTCATCGGACCGGTTTGCTGGTCTCGACCCCCACTGCCGAGACCAGCAGTTTGTGAAGCAGGCGATGGACTTGTGGGAGTTCATACAGAAGGACTGGGGTCACTTAGTCCGGAATCTACAATGTCTGCAAGGTCTCATCCTCTTGGCATTTAACTTTCTACAATCTGGCCCTTCGGAGACTGCCTGGAATCTAACTGGAACTTGTGTTCGCCTCGCATATGACCTGGACCTACATACGATAGATGCCGACAAGATCGATTCCGAAGCAATCAACTGGCAGGATGGGTTTCAACACCGGTGGGCTTTTCTGGAGGAGAAGCGTCGGGCGTGGTGGATGGTATGGGAGATGGATACATTCTCATCCGCGATTTCCTCACGACCCTATGGGATTGACAGTCGAGTAGTCCGGGTTTTACTTCCGGTTTCAGATAAAGATTGGACCAACAAATCTCAAGCACGGTCAGTTTCGCTAGGTTCAGCTAGTGAGATGCCATGGCAGGGCATCATGGGCTCGTCAAACCAGTGTGAACGTGCATGGTTTCTCGTGTGCTTGGCCGTAGTCAGACGCACTACCGACACGATATTGTCCGGAGCGTCGGTTCAGGAACTGCAAAAAGCGGAAGATACCATTTCATGTGCATTCCTGGCCTTGCCATCTCCATTCTATGATCTGCCATTATCGAAAGCAATCTGGCAGTCTGATGTGGTAAAATACAACTGGATGGCTTGCTCGCTGATTGCACTCAATTGGTATGGAACTCCGAGTGGAATTGGGAAGATGTTGCACCGCTAACACCATTGGATCTAGGGCTCGCAGTCGGATTAACTTCGAACTCCACGAGAAGCTGAGAATGGCATCTGCAGTTCAATACCAAGTCCATGGTCACAAGCCAGCTCGTATATGTTTATCGACGATTGTCGATGTCCATCAGTTGATACGACTCCTCTCACCTCAGGCTCTGTCTGTATGCTCTCCTTTGATATTCTGTGCGGTAGTCGGACTGGGAGCCGTCCATGTTCCCGAGGGTTACGCGCAAAATTCGAGGGCTCAATTATCTTGTCTGTATGGCGAACATACCAGCTTGGTTTTGTGCAGCGTTGGGAGGCATTGGGCTATAGGAAGGGCGCTTTTGGGTATGTATCAGTTGGTCCATTGCGTGAGCCTGAGATGAGGCTGACTGCCCGTCACTTCAGAGGTTATCGAATTCTCTAAAAGCTCAGATTGTCACAGAATCAGCACTCCGGACAGGTGTTGTAGAGGGAAATTCGTGCCCCAGTGGAGAGCACTCCTACGACCTGTATGAGCCGTCGATGTAAGAAGCTAGGATACACTACAGAACAACATCTACCTGTTTTACTTAATATTTCTATCACATCATGTGGCCACTAGGCCAACAACCATTGCGGTTGCGAGGAAGATATACATAATGAACAAAATGACATATCTCACGGAACATGCACTTGGCCAAGCCTGTTGATTATTGAGCCCTGCGAGATCAACTTGTCTCTAGCCGACTATATGACGTGATTCACAACCAGATTGAATACTCAGTAGACTGTCTAACTCCGTGTATTGGGACCCTTCTTCGACGCGTACCTATGCTTTTCATTATCGCTCCCACATCGAGCGGGCACTATCGAAAATGGCTTTGAAATTGGAACTGCATCAACAAGATTCCTCATTAAGTAATAATGGGTCGGTCCATAGCTCAAAGCTGAAATTGTATTAATCGTAAATATACGCGAAGGCTTCAACCTGGGTTGGCCAGAGGCATATGGTGACAGCTGACACCCAATGGTATTGGCTCCGCTCCTAGAGGCATGATCAAACACCCTTTGCATAACTATTTCCTGTGGGGGTTTCACATGGACTGGGAAGGCTACTCGTGGTCGAATACCAAGGCTTCCACGTACGACTTTGTTGGCTGAAAGTAGTTTGTATTTAAAAATGATAATCTAGCCATCTTACAGTATCTAAACCCGTGAATACTGCCAGGCCCTTGAACTCGGCACGAGACGTCTTTAAGGTCCCGATAATAGTCATGCATAAACTGATGAGAACGACATTGTATTTATCAAACGACGATGGGAAGTTATAGCGAACCTTTTTGCGAAGGTCAGCTTGTTGAGCTTGTCGGGGAAGGTTTCCTGTTCGATACGTGTTTTGATTCGAAGTGAGAATGAGTTCGCTGGGAGCTTGAATGAAGGTTCTAATTTCTTCCACTATTGCTTATCGTCTTCCGCTGCTTATCAGAAGAGCGTTTTCGATCTCCTCGCGGCTTGGGGGTTGGGACACATTGCTTCGCCAAGAAACATGATGATCTGGGCGGATCAGGACGACATCACGCTCCCAGACCTGTCGTGTATGCTTCTCTTGAGGGAGATGGAGCACAGAAAGTGGTATTTCCAGGCGAGCGGCAACGGCAGAGAACTCTTCACCCACACGTCCCTCCTCAGTAAAGTCTACCACTGTGAAATCGAACCCAAAACGCTCGAAGATCGAGGTCACGCCGTCGTTCAGGTACACATGGGGTGCACGAGCACCAGGCCAAGTCGAAGGAAAGTAGTCTCTGGCCGTCCAAGGCGGCTGTTCCTTTGGATCGCCATCCGGAACAATAACGGGAGACGTCATGTGTCGATAGCCCATTTCGATCCCAAGATATTTATTTTCGCCGTCGTGGGCGAGAACGTGCGATCGAATCCGCTCACGAAGGTCTTTTCCAGCAAGTGTCTCACTTCGTACCGTCCCCACGGGCTCGCCGCGGACCCAACTGACGTATTTCATATGCATCTCGACGTTGGTGCCGGACATCGCGACATTTCGAATCGCCACAGGGCGTCGCTCAATCTCGTATGATTCGAGTAGCCTTTCTCCGCATTGTCCTTGTAGAACCATTGCTAATTTCCAGCCGAGGTCGTAAGCATCCCCCACTCCCGTGTTCATACCGTACCCCCCAAAGGGAATATTCTGGTGAGCTAGGGCCTCTGTCAGTCTCCCATTCACGAGATTGAGTCCAGTGAAATACCTGAATCCCCAGCCAGAAGTACCCTCCGGCTCTTTGTCGAGTAGGTGTCCGCCACGGACAGATTGGCATTCCACGCGCTGGTTACGAGGATTTTGTCAATTGTAAATCTTTGCGGCTGGCCCGCATCTCCCAGAGCCGCAAACACCATCTCCTCAGCATTCAGGGTCTCTAAATCCGCATCAGGTGGCAGGGGCATATGGATCGTCCAGGTATCCTTCTCGTCCTGGTTGATGACGCAAGCCCCCGTGGACAGGAACAAATGCCAGAATTGACCCTGACGATGCAGAATGCCTAAATCCGAGGACTTGAAGTGAACCAGTAAATTCCGGTTGCCACTGCAGACGAAGTTCGGTTAGTCATGACGAGTGTCCCATATTGCCGGATCTCACACTTACATCGGAGCCCCAGTGAGGTTGATGCCTGCTGATTTTCTCACCCGACTTCCGGCACCATCACAGCCGATGACATACTGGGATCGGATGAGATGTTCGACGCCAGTATCGACATGCGTGATCGTCGATTCTACGTGGTCCGCATGTTCTGTGAGACGCTCAAACTTCATCCCCGAGAAGGACTTCACCAGTGGATGCGCTTCAACGAGTGGTTTGAGCCAGGCTTCGAACAGTATCTGGGAGCATCGGAGCCACGCTTGGCTGGGCATGGATCCGTCGTTCCTCTCATGAATCCGTTGGCGCATTTCTAATGGCGATGGTAGATCCTATCGTCTCAGGTTAGTTTGCGTTCGTCCTTGTCTCCCGGAACAGCTCCAAATACCCATTTGACTATCGCCTCGCCTCCCTCCGAAAGCCCGGTGGAGAACACGCAATTCAAAGAAAACTTCTCGTCGACTCCTGGTGGGATCGTATTAGAGATATTCTACTGGTTGATGGTATCATTTGAGGGAGCTAGCAAACCTAATTTTTTGAGCTCGTCCGCGAGCCCAATATGGTTCAATAATTCCATCGAACGCGCATTGGTGATGTCCATCTTCGGCCATCTCGTCGTGTCGTGGTTGCGCTCAACTAAGATGGTTTGAACCCCACGCTTGGCCAGCTGATAAGCTGTAAGCAATCCAATGGGACCTGCACCGACCACGAGCACAGGGCCCTCCGCCAGAAGGGATGGATTCGAGGATCCCATCAGGTTATCCGTGGCTGAACGACGCCTAAAACGATCTGTAACTTGGGGTCAGCCCCGGGCACTCCACAGCTCCAACGTAGCGCAATTACATAATCGGTTGGTCACTTATGCCTCTGAGCTCAAAGCGTAGCAAGAGAGAGCGGAAGAGAGAGAGAGAGAGAGAGAGTGTGTGTGTGTGTGTGTGCGTGTGAATGCCTTACGCAACCTGTAGAGGCATTTGCGTATGATCATATATGTAGTCCCCTGGGTATTAATAGGTGCCCGCGGGGTTTGCCACGATAACGCCGAATCCCTCTGTGACACCATGTTCGAGTCGATCTACATTCCATGAAAACGGTAATCGCCCGGGCCCAAGGCATTTGAAGCGCTGTACGAGATGCCTCTCCACCGATTGGTAGAGAGCATCCGAAAAAACGGCCAACGGGCGTGAGGACGGCGAACTTCCCGTTCGGGAAGATGCCGTGCAGGTGAGCTTGTGGGGATGTGGGTTCATGATCGTCAACCCCAAGGGTACGTCCGGAGTACATAAATTAGCGCAAAATGGATCCAGAAAGTCGACATGCTTCTAGTAATGCTTTCTTGAGGCGTGCAGTCGTGTGCCATCAATCAACACAGAACCAAGACCCTGCCTTTTCACCAGACATTCTCTCTGCACCATGGCGTTGCTAGCCCTCAAGCTGATGCTTGCGGTGGTTCCTCTTGCGACCCTTTATGCGCTGTTCTTCCTGGGCCGACGAGAGAAACACCTTCCACCTGGTCAGTTATGACTTGCTACCTTCCGGTCGTACTATCAACCGCTCATCTGAGATCTTTGCAGGGCCTCCAACCGTGCCAATCATCGGGAATGCCCATTTGATACCGCGCAAGGGAGCACATTTCACGTACGGACTGGTCACCAAAGAGATGATACACATTTCAAAAGGACGGACCGCTAACGGTTCTCCATAGATTTCTTGAGCTAGCTAAGAAATATGGCGGCATGTTCTCTCTGAAAATCGGCTCCAACACGTTGATCATTCTCAGCGATCGGCGAATTATCAAAGAGGTGCTCGATAAAAACAGCTCCATCTCCAGCAACCGGCCCGACCTATCAGTGGCTCACACCATCACCGGTGGAGATCATTTGCTATTCATGGACGCCGGGGTAGAATGGAGACTGTTTCGACGGTTGTTGCACCAAGAATTCATGTCCTCTCGGTGTGACAAGGTACATATCGAAACCCAAAACGCGGAGGCCGTCCAGATGCTACGAGACTTCATTGTCTATCCCGATCAGTATATGCTCCACGCCAAACGGTTTAGCAATAGTATTATCATGAGCCTCCGTGAGTGTCAGTATCATCCACGTGCGATGAATCAGTGAGCTGACCTGCTCCGTCTTGGTAGTTTTCGGTATACGAACGCCGTCCTTTGATACACCACACATGCAAAAGCTCTACCATTTAATGGATCACTGGTCGAAAATCATGGAGATCGGATCCACCCCCCCGGTCGATGTGTTCCCGTTTCTTCAATACATCCCCGAACGATTCCTCGGGAACTGGAAAGGCCGAACAGCGGAGGTCCAGCAGGAAATGCTGGGTCTCTACGGGGAGATTGTGAGACATGTCATGGACCGATGGAAGACGGCTGGTAGCCGCGGGTGTTTCATGGATAACGTTTTGGAGCAAAACGGGAAATTGGATCTCAACGACCACCAGCTGTATTTTCTCGGTGGGGTGGCATTGGAAGGGGGATCAGATACCTCTTCTTCGGTGATCAACACCTGCATGCATGCTTTGGTCCAGTGGCCCGAGATCCAAAAGAAAGCTCAACAAGAGATTGACAGCGTTGTGGACGAGGACCGGACCCCGGTCTGGTCCGACTTTGCCAACCTGCCGTACGTCACCCAGGTGGTGAAGGAGGCGCAAAGGTGGCGTCCGGTGGGTGGTCTGGGTATACCCCATGTTCTGACGGAGGGTAAGGAAGCATTGAATGTTCCTCACTGGCGTTTTGGATGGCCACTGACGAAAGATCAGATCAATGGGTCGATGGCAAGCTATTGCCCAAAGGAGCCACCGTGATGACGAATGTGTGGGAGTTGCATCATGACGAAAAGCGGTATGCCAATCCCGATGTCTTTGATCCCGAGCATTATGCCGGCTATACCAAGGTGGCTCCCGAATATTTAACGGCCAGTGATCCTGAGGCTCGAGATCACTACGCCTATGGGAGCGGGCGCCGAGTGTGTCCCGGCATCCACCTGGGCGAGCGGAACCTTTTCTTGGGCATTTGCAAGCTCCTGTGGGCGTTTGAGTTCCACAAGGCGGTAGATGCCAGTGGCAACCCGATTGAGACTGATATCAACCCGACGACTGCATACAGCGAAGGGTTTATCACCTCGGCCAACAAATTTCCTTGTCGCATCGTCCCGCGCTCCGAGAAGCGCAAGGCGACCATCATGCGCGAGTTTGCGGACATGGAGCGTGTATTCTCCAAGTATGAAACTGTATGAATGCTGTTCAGCGGTGCAGGTCACTGGGGCCTGTGATTTAAAACCCGAACTTGGTTGTTTCCATTGTAATTGCTAAGGACCGAGTGTATGCAAGCGTGCAACAGGTTTCCTTCTCTTCGAGTTCATGTATGTAGTTAATCAAAATCAACTTGCAAACGGATGGCATCCGTCACGTTACTTGCTGCTGGGCCAATTCGGCCAACGCCGCTTTAATGAGGGCGATCAGGCTCAGGCTCACTGCGTAGTTTACAGTCTGGGCTCAGTCTCACTGAGCTGCGTTGAACCACGTGACTGACCCCTGAGCACACTGAGCAATCACGGGTCACAGTCCAAAAAAAATCTCGGCAGTACTTAAAGTTCTGCCACCGCTGAACTCTATGCAAGTTTTTCTGTGTTTCGGCTTAGCGGGGAAATCCCGTTCAGTGAATATAGTCTTGGTATATAAAAGTAAATTACCCTCTATATTAATCTTATATACTGTGTATATCAAATAGTCAACTAGTATATACTATATATATATTTAGTATAAAAGATACATTATCTATTTCCGTTTATTAAAATTTACAGAATTTTTGATTGAGTAGAATTTAGTTGGAAGTAGGGCTTAAAAATATACAATATATTTCATAGGGTTCAAGAGACGATGGCAGAATCCCAAAAATTTTGAACCCCGTTCAACTGTATGCCCTTCATTCCGCTATTTAGTCTAAGAGCTAGTCAATCAATCTCGATTGACAACACTGGCATTTGAGTTTGCTAGCTATACTTCACGTAGCATGGCAGTTCCTGGAGAGTGTCAATTGAAACGGTAAATGAACTAAAATTTCCAACAACTGGCCACTTAATTCGCCTTCGCGTGTTGTAAGGTTTTTATCATGCACCTTGTATTCACAAGATCATTTTATTGCTCAATTGGCCATCAGGTAGGAATGGCGTCTTCGTGGGAAAGGGGTTATCAATCGATAGATGGCGATCACTTGAACTCGCTTATTCTTCCTTGATTGATAGATAGAACCATCATGTATCAACTTGCTCATCTAAGATTATAAAGCATTTCGAGGCAAATTTGACGTTGATCACCAATTTGTTATTCGTCGACTTTCCGTAAAATCTCATGCAGGCTGAAGGATCGACGGTAGCTGAGGTTCGTCTCGTTGGGCCCAAACATACCAGTCATATTAGCGTGGGAGGCTGGGCTGACATCCCTAAATTGCTGCGGGAGCTAACACTGCCGAACAGCGCCGACCCGAACACCTGTTCCCTGAAAGCTATGAAAATTGACCAAAAGGTTGACATCGCTCTTCCATATTGACTTCCATCCTGGGTTTATGTGAGCTTCGACGCGACTCCCCACGAGCAGCCTGGTAATATGATGCGAACGCGTGTAGAGAACCGCGCGCCATGGGGCCATGCCTGGCGATCGTCGAATAGCTTCATTGTCAGTACAATGTGCCTTGCGATTTTCACGGGTAAGTAGCCACCGTACAATATCACTGCATCGTGGAAACCGAGCGCTTAGTAACGAATAAATTCCCTCAGATGAGCTTCTGTTCGCGTTCATGCTGCCATTGTTGCCGACTGTCCTCGAACAGCGGATTGGTCTCGACCCGTCTTTGACACAGCGATTCACGTCGATTTTCCTGGCCGAGGGAGCATTTATCTCTGTGATTTCTAGCCCGATCTTTGGGTCCATCGCCGATGCAATCTCTGGCAAAAAGACGCTCTTGCTGCTTTTACTTGTATTGACTGTGATCAGTACAGCTTGTCTATCCCTCACAACCCATCGTAAGTCTTCCTTGGACCCATCCCATAGATGTGTGTACTGATAATTTTCCCAGTGATATGGCTATTGGTCGGGCGCTTTTTTCAATGCCTAACAAGCAATGGCATTTGGATCGTGGGAATGTCCACTATGGCTGAGAATATTGGGAGCGAACACATGGGAAAAATTGCCGGATTGACAAGCACACTCACAGCGGCGGGAACAACTGGCGGTCCTATTCTTGCAGGAGTCTTATTCGAACTAGGAGGGTACTGGTGTGCGTGGATGGGCCCAGCTGTGTTCCTGCTTGTCGACATCTCGATGCGCCTGATCATGATTGAAAAGCAAGACAAACCCGAACAAGGACATCATGACCCGGAGCAAGACCCCTTGCTAAAGAATCAGCCCGCTCGATCGAGCGATGATGATTTGAAGAGCTCGACATCGTCAGAAGGGCAGGGATGGCGCTTCTACGCACTCATATTCCGCCAACGGAGATTCTCCAGTGGTGTCTTCTGTGCTTTCGTCTTTGCTCTGCTAATTGGTTGCATTGAAAGTACATTGGCCGTGCATATCCGGAATGCGTTTGGATGGGGAGCGCTTCACGTTGGTCTTCTGCTGGCGTGGATTCAGGGACCTGGTATGGTACTGGCGGCTCCAGTCGGGTGGATGAAAGACAAGTTCGGCTCGCGGTGTCCGACAGCATTCGGCTTTCTTGCGTTATCGCCATTCCTCATTTTTTTGGGGATCCCTGGCAGCAAAATGTTCCATTGGGCAACGGATAAATATTTGACACAGCCTCTGTTCGTTGTTTGTATGGCGCTGATAGGGTGTCTTTTGTCTTTACTCGGCGGGGTGGGTACGATGCAGGCAACTGGTAGGTGCAATCCCGCGATCTTCATCCACTGGAAGCTAACTGGTCTTTATAGAAGCGGTTGATATACTGGAGGCCGAGAACCCTGGCGTTTTCGGCCCCAACGGGGGATATTTCCGTGCTTTAGCTATCACCAATATGACTTGGATGGCTGGGCTGATGACTGGTCCTCTGCTGGCGGAATTGATTATTGGACGTTTTGCGTACTTCGAGTTGCAGTGCTGTCTCGGTAAGACATACTTATTTGTCTGCCCATGTGCCTTTCTACATGTATATGCTTACTCTACTAGGTGGTATATCTTTTGTCGCAGGGATCATGGCCCTGGTTTTTCTTGGGTCGCCCGTGCCAAAATCCGCAGAGCAGATGGACGAAGACGGAGCGTGAAGCGGTATAAAGTGCGCCAAAACTTTGGGCTCATCTTCATGTGGCATTTTAGATTGTTTTCTACATGTATATATAGTCCCTTGATGCTGCTTGAGTCACTCGTGTATAATTATCTCCCTCATATTTCCGATGTCGATACCAAAGAATTGAAGATGACTCTTATGGAGGGAGAAGTTGCGACTCACCGGAACGCAACTTCGGACTGCTCCGCAATTCGCGCTCCTTCCCGTAGAATTTTGATGATAATAGGCGGATCATTCGACGGTCAGTCTTTTTTGAAGGTGTACGTGGCACCTTTGTCGCCAGTAAAAACAGGGTCGGAATCATATAGGGCGGAAGTGAGATGGCAAGGACTTCCTTGATTTGTGCGACTTTTCGAATGGCAATCTTATCTTGGCTTGCATCTTTCAGACGGAGTTCAGTTGTTTCGCAATTGTCTGGGTGGTCACTGAGGTACAAGAACGCAGCTAGACAAGGGTCTTCTTGGCCGTCGATAACGCCGAGCAGATCCACCACGATGGAGTCTTTGGATGTAAGTGATTTTCGAGAGAGATGTTCGACTTCGATCACATCGATGCGACATCCATCGAGCTTCACGATGGTGTCTTTGCGCCCAATGTACTCGATACGTCCATCGTGAGTCCAGCGCGCTAGGTCTCCTGATCGGTAGAGCCGGGTGAGCTGTCGGTTCGGATGAAGCTCACTTAGCCACGGGGGAATCTCTTGCATGAACCCAGCGGGTTTTGTACGATCGGATGCTTGATGGTTCTGGCCAAGGTAATCCCTTGATAGATGAGGTCCCTCAATTACGATTTCACCAACCGCGCCAATGGGCATTAGCTTAGCTGCGCATGTTGGGTCAACGATCCAGATTGCACCACTCGAGGGGCGTCCAATTGTGGCAGGTGAGCTATTCGGGTCATGCACATTGTCGTTGTATGCACAGCACACTGCTGCTTCACCCATTCCAAACTGGTTTATCAGCTTCGTCGAGCTCCCGGCCCAATTGTTCAATAGATCTTTCGACAGTGGCTCGCCGCCAATGCACAGGATCTTCAGGTTTTTCATCGCATCGGGGTTTGCTTTTATGGCCACAGTGGGAGTGAGGAAGGCGATGTTGGCATCGAGTGTGCTTATGTTCTCGGCGAGGTCTTGCACAGTCTTCATCGGCCCCGGCACGCAGCAACAACCACCCAGAATGAGAGGCACAAGGAACTCCAGATTGCTGATATCAAATGCGTAGTCATCATACTGCAGATATCTGGTGTCTGCATTGAGGCCCAAGTTTCTGGAATAATCTCTGATGGCAGATGCATAGGATTTGTGTTCTTGCACGATGGCCTTGGGCTTGCCAGTGCTGCCCGAGGTGAATAGTACCGTGCACGCGTTGGATGGTTGAACTGCCGGCAGTGAGGCCGACCGCGTGGGCAGAGGAAGACTTTCTAGCCACTCGTGGGTGATCACAGTGACAGTTTCGATGGCGTTGTAGAATCTGTCTGCAAAGAAGAGATCGCTCAACATGATCTTGGCCCCGGTGCGCTGGATCACCGAGTCGAGATAGGCTGGCGGGTTGCTTGAATGGATCGAGATGTACGCTCCTCCTGCACGGAGGATTGCCAACCTGGCGACGATGGCCCACGTTGACTTCTGGAAGCTACTGAGCACAAAGGACTCGGGCCGCACGCCGAGGCCATTCAGATGGTGTGCCAGGCGCAGAGACAGACTATCCAATTCCCCGTATGTCAAATCACCGTCGAACGATCTGACAGCTAGCTTTTCGGGATGTCGACGACAATTGTCCACGATCAAATCATGCAGACAATTCTGACTGGTGATAGAAGCAGTGCTCGTGAGGCTCTTGATTATTTTCTTGTCGGGCTCCGAACAGTATTCGATATCTTCCAACTTGAGACTCGTTGGGCAAGCTAAGATCTGCCGAAGTACGTGCTGGAATGTCCACAGCATGCTATCATTCAATTGCTTTGGGATACTGCCTGGTCTGGTAATGCTCGCAAACAATCGGCTGTTATGCTCAATGACGACAAGCTAGATGATGGGTAACAATATTATGTTAATGACGAAAGCAAATGCAGGGTCCAATGTTGAACTTACTTCTAACTTTCCACCGAGAAAAGGGACTGTAGTCAATGAAGGGCTTGGATTGGTGATGTATCTGAGTGCTGCAGTGCAGACAGAACGAGAGTGAGCGAGTTGTGGGCCAGCACTTGACACATTGGCTTCTTGCTGCGTCTCTAACGTTTCGAGAAGTAGCGGTACATCCCATCCCGGCTCTACTCGCACAGTAAATGCAGTTGAGCAGCCGGCCTTTGAGCCCGATTCTTCATCGTAGCTTATACTAATTACTTCCTCGGGCTCGAAGCAACGGAGAGTAAGGATCCAAGCGGCCTTCAAAAAAGTCGATCCCTTGACTTGTTGCCGCAGGGGCCAATGTTGACTCAATTCAAGCTGCACGGCATCATTGAAACAGTCGATTGGCTTGGTAGGCGTCGGAAGATACAGTCTATTCGACTTCACCAGGCTTGGAGCCATCTTGTAATATCACAGTTGGGGCCCAGATAAAAAGCCGCGGGGGAGTACCAAGTACCAAGTCAGAGTGGTGTCTCTGTGGGTACGATTTGGAAGGGTCACGGCTGTCTGATTCCAGAAGTCGGAACCTGATTTATACACCACTCAGTAGGTATGTCTACTGTAGCGACCAAGGAATGTTGTAAAGATACAGTATGAGAACGCGAGATCCGCAAGGTAGAACCAGTTCCTGCCCAGGTGTGACGTTCCGAACCTCGTCAACGCGCTAACACTACTGGTCACATCACGGTAACGAGCCCAGCGCATCCTGAGGGTCTCGAGCTGAAGATGTGATTGCCGAGAGAACGAGGAGTCCTTGCTTTGCGCATCGCCTGGTGGAGCCTAGAAAGCCATGGAATGTACGCGCCCTGTGCGGGATCCAATCAAGCAGAGACAAACGTGGTACGAATTTGGCATTATGGAATCGAGTCGCAATATTATTCCTGTAGCTCTGGAGCTGATTTGCGTCTTGAGCATACATAACATTGTTGGGACGGGAAGGGGATCGGGGACACCTGAGGCTCCACTTCCCAGGTTCTGTTCAGCTGTTCTCTCCAGCATCGAACTCTCGCTTCGCCTTAGTCCCGATCTGCACTACTGTAGTAGTTTACAATTGAATTACCTTTCATTCAATTGGAGTGCTGATCTCAATACCGTGTTTCGTGTGTTGTGCCTCAAGTGACCGACCTGGAGGTGTCAATGGCGGGCTGAACTTGTGAGGAGTCTCAAACCTTCTGCATGGTCCTGCATACAGATCGTCGCTCCGCACCATCCGCGCCCAATACGAAGCCATCCAAATCACGTATTTGGAGCGGATGTGTTCACCGCATCGCCAGGTTGTATATTCATGGGCCTGGCCATTCGAATGGTCACGAAGCCGTAAAATTCAAACACAAAATCCAGTAATTTATGGATTCTGTTCTCTCAACTATTGATCTTCCAATTGCGAAAGGCACTTCCTCGGTGTTTTTTTTGACGAGATGACTGTGATTCAAAAGTCTACTTCAAATGGTCATCGCTCCGTGGAGCCTCCTCTTGATCACGACTTCCACAATGCTTGGGGAACAATATACTCGAACAATGCTTTCGTCAGTGACAATCGCGCTCGACAGATGTGGGAAGAGTATACTGTGAACCCTGGCAGAGTTGAGCAACAATATCATGTACTGCTGAACGAGTATACCGACCGGTTTCAATCGTTTTTCAACGGATTCTGGCCTATAACATTTCACGCGCACGTTAGTGATGCGTTGATTCCAACCACCGTGGCCAGTCTCATTCTCAATACCGCATCAACATGTCCCCTGGTGGTGGAAGACCCAGCACTATCCCCGTTGCTGAAGGATGACCCAGAGCCGGAAAAGGTCCAAGAATTTGTCCGCAACCTTCTTGGTTGGAACGATGTTCACATCAAGACGCCGAAATTAGCCATTGTTGACGGAATCTATGGGTGCGCGTATGGGCCCTTGGTGAGTCCAAGAAACCGATCATCCACCACAGAATCTACATGCACTGACCAAAAAGGCACACTCGTCGGACGAGTGGGAATACAGAATCATCGGATCGGGCCCTGAATCATTCTACGTACGCCGAAGCGACTTTGTCACGGAAGAGACATTGTTGAACAAACTCATTGAGGCCAAAAAGGAAGGATGCGTCGCAGTGATCTGTGATCTGGTCAACGCGTCGGACGGATCCGTCTTACCGCCCGAGTACTTCCGTCTTTTACGAAAGTGCTGCGATAAAGTATGCATATGTCTCCTTGTTGATGAAGCCATGACCGCAATCCGCTGTGGAGCACCACTGGTTCACCAGAGACCCGAATACTGCGAAGACGGCGGGATCCAGCCTGACATGATCGCCTTTGGTAAAGGCATGGGTATCAGTGGTATTGCGATTAACTTCAACGGCCTGATGATGCGACACCTCGCTTTCCACAATGAGGCGCTCATTCGCCAGTCAATCAGATTCTGGCGCTCTATGGTCACGAGGCCGATCGCGACAACAGTGTTGATTGAAGCCTTGGGTACCTTGAATGTAGCGGCAGCCGAGAATTGGCCGGCCAGAAGTGAGCAAATTGGAAAAGCGTTCCGAAAATTTGTCATTCGCCATGCGAAGAACGATCTGCCACCCGGAGAGGAGATTGTGCGTGGGCTAGGCGCATTCATCGCCGTGCCGCGGGATATCAATAAAAAGTTTAATGTTATGGCGGCATTTCGTCGGAGAAGTGCTTGGGCGCGGTGGATTCCCAAGCTCAATATGGCTGCTGCTGTGGATACTGAAGCGATCGACAGATATCTCATTGGCTCTGATGCCAAACACCTTCGACAGGCCATGACAGAAGAGGCTAATCAGCTTGGGACGAAACCACTCTGGTGCTGGATTTGTGGAATCGATGCAATGACAGAAAATTGGTGTCGGACCTGCTTCTTGGGACACTGTGGAACTGACGATTGCGCAAAGGGCTTTAACACGCATAAGTGTCTATAGCCCTGGATAAGTCCCTCCCACAATTCTTCCAGGTCATAGACACAGAATATTAGCACAAGACCCCACAATCAAAAGTTTTCTGAAACGAAAAGACGCGAAAACATCATTTGCTTTTCTGTCTTCTCGAACTTCAAAATGACCAACGTAGCAGTATTCCGATCAAGTGCTGTGGGCAATCCATCTTCTTCAAGGTTAATGCCATAAGCGTAATGCAAGTGACAGCCTGTGAAGGTAAATCTGCATGTAAATTACGACTAGTCAGCATTCTCGGTACCAGAATCATCTTTAGATACATCCTGGGGTTGTTCTGTCCATCGGAGCGCCCCCCAACCCACTTCATCCACGACCCGAGGTATTCTCACTCACGCAAAGGCTGTCTTGAGAGCAGAATGAAACGAATCCTTTTCCTGACGACTCCACCAACCGACCTTGTCGAGAAATACGTTGCAGAAGATGATTGGTCGAATGAGATGTTACCGCCACTCCTCTCACAAGCAGGAGCATTGATCACCGTCAAACGGTGGCTGGATGAGGACATCATTCCCTCCATCTTAAATCACGATGTTGTGACTTTTCTCTGGGCTGAGGACTATATTCGACATCCCATTGAATTCCAGCATTTTCTCATGGAAGCTCGAACAGCGATCGAGTCAATCAAGGACGTTGATAGCCGTCCGTGCATGGTGAATCCCATCGAGCTGGTCCAATGGAACATGGACAAGAAATATCTCTTGGAGATGTATGCCACGGGATTCGATATACCGAAAATGGGAATGATTGAGGCGAAACAATTTGATTCTGTGTCCGCGTTGCACCGACGACTGATTGAATTTCAATCATCTGGGCCCGTCGTCCTCAAACCCGCGATATCTGCATCCTCTAATAACACCACACTCATCTGTGATGTTTCCACCCTCTCGAAGGAAGACACCAGACACTTGCAGTCATGTATTGATGGTCGCCTTGGAAGTTCAATCGTTTTGCAGGAGTTTGAGCCGTCTATCTCGGCGGGTGAATATTCGTTCATCTTTGTTGGCGAGAGTCTCTCTCACGTGGTTTTGAAATCGCCTCGTAGCGGCGAGTTCCGCTGCCAACCGTCATTTGGCGGCGAGCTGGGTCGCATACCGATGGAAGAGATTCAGGAGACGACCTTGTCTGTCGTTCAATCTATCTTTGATACGCTCAAGGATCGGTTCGGGATTGCGACAACAGGGAAGTTGGGGTATATGCGCGTGGATGGCTTGGTGACTAAAGATCGCCCGTTTATCTTGATGGAAATCGAAGCCATTGAGCCTTGTCTTTATTTTGAAATGGAAGGACTTGACCAGATGCTCTCACTATTGTTGTCAAATTAGTCTAGAAGCCCTGGGGTTCCAGATCAATGTCTCCGATTCCCGTTCCATACGTGCGCTGAAACTAAAGCATTCAATGTTGGATTCTTGAAAGGATCCCAGTGGCTGGCTGAGCTATACGTAGGGTCATCTGGATTATAACCGCTGAAAAGGCAGGACTGTCAGCGTCCAACAATTCACGCAAGTCGTCTCATAAAATCGTCTTTTCATCTCAAGATCAGTCTCACTTAGACCGATGCTCGATTTGAGACTTGCAGAACTCGGCATTAAAAACTATGATCTCCAATTCACTAATCAAATTCACTGGTGTAATAGGGTCAGCCAATTGTTCGATCCAATCACCCGCTTCCCATTTGCATATTCAGTGCAAACTAGCTGAAGGAAAATTCCAAAAAAGACATGGATTTTGCAGAAAGCTTGGGTTTTGGGGAATCGGGGAGAAGACCTTGAACTGCTCCAACTTTTATGAACAGACAAATAGTGTTCTTGACATTAATACCAAAGTAACCTGTAAATAATGTTGAGTTCCCCTACCTGTCGATAATCTCAGATTGGCGTCCAGTTTTATTTGATCAAGTTTTATTTTTCATGATATACAATACCTTGTTCTGAATTTACGATACGATGTGCGCCGTGTCTATAATGTGGCTGTGTTCAAACACAGCATGTATACCATACCAGTCTTGGTTGGTAGAAATCCTTCACCAGTCTCACCTTCTTATAAGCTCTGGCCAAAAATTACACCAAACGCTTATGGGCAACATTCCCTGAAGCCGAAGTGTCTCTTGGATGGCTGACTGCATCAAGATTGTTGTGTCAACAGGCCCACTCGCAAGTCTCACTCGCCCTGCCATCTTACGAATTGCACAGAATGGACAAAGCTGATATCAATATATAGATACGAGCAAGGAACATGACACAAATCAGCTCAATCTGGCATTGTAACACCCCATTTCATACATGTGAGCACTATATTTGTGCCATGAAATTGATAAGTTCCAACTCACCATGGATAAGAATACATGGATCATTTCAATTGTGAGTCGAAGCGCTGCTTGGGTATATTTGGCATAGTGATCTGTGCCTAAATAATCGGAAACCTGGTGTAGGCATTTCATCACATCATGACGAACTCTTATAACATAGAGAAGTTAGGTTACATAAGGCTCAGTGAGCCGATCAGTGAGCCGGGAGCCGTGCTCCGTTCTACTCAGTGAGCAAAAGCGGCGAGCCACTGAGCACTAAACAGCAGTCGTACTCAGTACTCCCGAGGACTTCGTCTGGAGCACAGCGAACCGGGTGTGACGGTATGTCCTGTATTGGGACCGAGGATGCGCCGTGTGGGGAAACACTTGCAATACGGCTATCACTAGCGTGGGCACGGGACCCACCGTGATGCACCCGTTTCTCCCCCGTATCGTATCGTTGGCTCCTCTTCTTTTTCCCTTGGGCTAACTAGTACAAACTACTGCGAACCCCCTTTGCCGGGCTCTAAGGGAAACTACTCGATCATCGCGTCTCCGTAGTTCCTGATTAAATCCCGACGCCATACATTGCAATGCCACCGCATGCGAAACGTGAGAGGTGTCGCCGACGCAAGACTTCCCAGGAGGAAAGGATTTGTTCCATTTGCTCTCAGTCGTTTAAGAAGGCGGAGCACCTGGCCCGCCATTTCCGCTCGCACACCAAAGAGAGGCCGTTCACGTGCCAGAGCTGTGGCAAGGTCTATGTCAGACAGTACGCCTGCCCGATGTGACTATGCATGAGTCCGGTTAATGGATACTCAATAGGGACTCCTTATTACGCCATTCGAGATTGCAGCATGGCCATACGCAGCCGAATGGACCAGTGAACGAGGGTACTGGAATCACCATGGGAGGTCCCCCCTTGCGTGGCCCGAATGAGCACGCGAGTGCGTTGATGGAAACATCCGCGATGGCCGGGGTCGGACAAACGGTTCCCATACCAGAGCAGCTCGCGCTAGGGCAGCAGGTACGCCCTGAGGACAACACAGGATCGGGGTTAACACCCCCGTTTGGACCGTATACCGTAGACTTAGCCACCGAAGAAGATCCAACCACTCACGAACCGGATGTTCCCATGGCCCAATTTGCGTCCACAGAGATGGACGGTTCCGTCTCCGCTTGCAATGGCCCTTGGCCTGTAGTATGGGACGGGCCGGGGGATCTGGACTGGACATCGTGGTTAACAGGAACAGATTTTGACCTGGATGCGCTGAATCAGTCATTGCTGGAATCGACGGAGCTCCGTGCAAAAGATGCGGCCCGCAGCTTGGGCGGCGCAGCGGGACCGATTCAGAGAAGATGGCATACCTTCTCCGAAACAGCGATATCGTCCGGCCAGACCACACCAGATCAGAGCGATCCCGGCAACAATCACCCTGGTCAAATACGTATTTGTGCCGATGAATCCTACCGACAGAGACTTGCCGAGAGCCTCAGACAACAGATACAACCTGGAATTCTACCGTCTACTGGATTCCTGGTAAGTGCCCTCGATCTGCCAGTCCATGATACGGACTTCATTACCTGACGGTCCCGGCAGAACCTTTGTCTCCAGGCTTATTTTACACACTTCCAGTCCATCTTTCCTCTGGTTCATGTGCCAACATTTCAACCCTCCAAGAACAATGCCATTCTTCTCCTTTCCATCTGCTCGATCGGGAGTCTGTTTCTAGGGTCATCGCGGGCCATGGCCCATGGCATAAGCATGTTTGAAAGGATGCAGAAGGCAATCTTGGCCTCGGTATGTTCATATGCACTTTTCATGACGTCGGTCGCTGGGCAGGTTCTGACGGGTATGACAGTGGGAGACCCATATCTCAGCGAGCAAGGGCTTATCGATTATTTCTTTACAAGCTGCGCTGATAGGTCAAACCTTTGGCCTTCTCGTCGGGGTAAGCTACAACGTCACGTTGTGATGCCAGTGTTCCTCTCTACTGATCAGTGTGCAGAGACCCAAGGACCTCGCTGGAATTGATATCTTCCATGGAAGCATAGTGGCCGTGAGTCCTTGGAACCCAGCGAGAGAGTTTGCTGACTGACAGAGACAGTGGGCACGCAAAGCGAAGCTATTTAGCCTTACAGAGGATGCCAGAGCGTGTAGCATAAATATAGAGGAGGATGGTGAGGAACTAGAAGGAGCATGGAGAGCCTGGGCGCGAACGGAGGAGAAGAAACGGTACGAGGCTAGCGACCCACCATAGGTCTCAAAATTACTGATTCCTTGTCTAGTATTATTTTGGGCATCTACATTCATGATGTAGAACTGGCTAAGCTGCACAATCACGAACCCATTCTCCGACATGGAGTTGAAAAGGTGCCAAAATTATCGCCGCCAAACGTGTTCACCGCGCCCAACGCAGCCGCGTGGAAACGGGAGCTGATGGCCGTACAGGCGCCAGTACATATCCCACCATCTCCAGCCGTCACCGGTCCACTTTCACTATCAGTCGAAACCAGACCAGGCGATGATTTCGAATGCTATGCGATCCTTGAGTGCATCGGCGCGTTGGCCCACGAGGATCGCGACGCTGGGGGAACTCGGCTGGACATTGTTCAAAACTGCCAGAGGTTATTAACCCAGTGGTATCTCAGACGCTTCAACCACAGCCCACGAAACCCTCTGCACGCCAGCAAGATCCAGGACCCCTTCTGCCTCATGATCCTCTGGCACTCGACTTTCATGCACCTCTATACCCGTTTTGATGACCTGGAATGTGCCTGCGGACGAGAGGGCGAGGCGGTATCGCAGCAAAAGCGCCCCTACGCAGAAGCCTGGGTCAGGTCAGTTGATGCAAAACGGACGCTCCTTCACGCAACCTTGGTCCAGAGACACTTTCAGTCTATTGCAGTTGGTGCGGAGCCAGCATTCCATGTGCCAATGGCATTGTACTATTGTGGCATTGCCTGGGCATCTTTTACTCAGTTCCGGATGCTTGAACCGCCGAGCGATGGTGATTCTGAAGAATTGGATTTCCCGGAGCTGAGAATGTTAGGTGTCAACCAGACGAAACTCTTCTGTGAAGTGACTCGCGGAATCCAACTGGGAAGACTGGAATCCGGGCCCCTTTTCGTTATTATTGATCTGTTAGGGAGGATAAGCCATTGGAAAATATCTGAAACCCTTTCAGCTACCCTACTGGCTTTTGTGGAGGATTTGCCAGATCTATTCTGATATTCCTAGTTCGTCTTTAGTAGTGCCATCAAGGTTGACAAAAACAAACAGTCGATCGAATTTCTTCATACTCCAGAGACTGATGTTTCTAAGCAGTACAGAATCCGATACATTCTCTTATAATGTGTGTTGATACCTGTGGCAGAGTATAAAGCATACTTGGTGGTCAGCCTTAGCTGGGATTGGCAGCCGTCAGGTAAGATTATGCCGTTTTGCAAATCAAAATGCTTGCACTCACCATGTTGGATTGGCAGACGCCCTCTCGATGTGAAAATGTCGTAAGAGTTGCAGGGTCGGTTTGCCATTGCCAGGAGAAGAGAAAGGCAGGTCGGGATGGAAGGAGGATGTAGTGGCCGTATGCCTGGACCTCCGACAGGGATATTGCCGGCACTGCCTTTAAAGGTTGTGGGATCTATATAATTACCGTGGAACTGTGAAGTAGCACGAGGTATGTATACCCTAGCTGTCTCTATTCCTTGTGTGGCAGAAGGCAGATGCTCAATAATACGGCAGAAATCAATAGGTCCCACCATGCATTTTGAGGAATGACCTTGGTACTCTATAGTGAAACTACTCATAGCTAATCGTATTCTCCACCTTCGCCACACCCCCGAGTTCCACTTCAACCACGTCGCCATCTTTCAAAAACTCCTTCCGAAAGAACCCTACGCCCGATGGTGTGCCCGTCATAATAACGGTACCCTTCCTCAGCGTCGTGCCCCTTGATAAATGACTAACAATTTCTCTCACCCCCCAGATCATATCACTGGTATTGGTGGTTTGCTTTGGCACGCCGTTCACCCTCGTGACCAAATTGAGTCCCTGGGGTTCTTTGATTTCCTGGGCGGCGACGAGAACATGTCCGATCGGTGCGAACTTATCGAAGGACTTGGCATAACAGAACTGGCCCCCTGACGCCTCTGGGAGCTGGAAGTTGCGAGCAGAGAGATCGTTTCCGGCGGTGTAACCGAGAACGTAGTCTAAGGCGTCCTCCGCCGAGATGTTTTTGGCATCCTTCCCGATGACAACGGTCAGTTCACCTTCGTAGTCGAGATGTGATTGAGCGTCGGGATGGATACGAATGGACTCGAAGGGACCCGCGAGGGCATCGGCAGGCTTGGTGAAAACAGGCGGATAGGTTGGGACAGTCAGCTGCGGAGTGTACTCTATTAGTGACGGTTCACAATATGTGACGCTAGGGGTTAGTATGTATAGGTAGTTGTTAGGAAACTTACATTGGCTTCTTTGGCATGTTCCTTGTAGTTGAGCCCGATACAGATGATGAGGGGAGTATTTTCAACTGGGGATAGAAGCTGAAGGGCTATTAATGATGGCGTTCCCGTCAGAGCCATGGACGTAATCAAACACCTACACTGCTAACATGGTGGACCTTGTCTGTCAAGACCAGTCCGTCGAAGGGGTTGCCGTCGAACTGTTGCACAGTAAACTGGTTGTTCTCGGTCCTGATGAGTTCTCCATAGTACTGTTGTTCACCGGTTGCAAACCGGACAAGGTTTTTGAATGCCGCCATTTGGTCGTGAGGTATGTTGAGGATCTGAGTGAGCAGAAGTAAAGCAAGCTGAACAGAATTAGATGCGCCAACTGCACGATCGGGAGGGTTGAACTTATACTTAATGCGTAACTTTTAATTCTGCTTGACGATCTGTGGGACCTATCGATTCCTGTGGGACCGTCCTCGGCCAACATAAAACGACCTCGGGAATATTCTTGCGGCGTGGAGTAGCAGCATTGACCTGGAGGCAGTGGCCCCCGAGTTAGCGAAGATATGTTCGGCAGAAGACTTATGTGTCTATTAGGCGCTTCTATGGCAACTGATTATGTAGAACCTGCAATTCCGAGCGCCCATAGAGCCACCCGACCCATCCCATAGGTCCCACATGGGTGGTTGTTACCCCAGGTATTGCCCCATATAAGAAACATACCCCATACATCGTAGGATTCCTATGTCCAGTGAAACAGATTTGGCACATTTAGGATAATCATCACTCAATGGCCTCTCAAGCTTCTCCACGCAAGCTCTGGGAGCACCCAGACCCAGAGTCCACCCAGATGGGACAATTCCGCCGCGCTCTGGAGAAGCACACTGGACAACACTTCCAGGTCGGTAAATGAATCGGCTTTGTTTTCCAGCCTGTGATAATTAACTGAAGATAGACATACCATGACCTCTACAACTTTTCCATTACCCAGCGAACCACCTTCTGGGACTTCTGCTGGAAATGCTCCCATCTCATTCACGAGGGGACCTACACCTCCGTTGTCAATGAATCCGCCCGGATGGATAGCATTCCTCATTGGTTTTTGGGGATCCGGCTGAACTTTGCGGAGAACCTACTTTTCTCTGCGTCCGGGCATGGTAGATCCACTATAGGGAAGGAAGACGAGAAGATCGCCATTGTTGAGGTCCGCGAGGGCGCGGCCGGCGTGCCTCTTACGTGGAAAGAACTCCGCAGTCGAACGGGCCGGTTAATACATGCAATGAAAGCACATGGGGTCAAGAAGGGCGATCGCATCGCGATCTGTGCCAGTAACAGCATCGACACGCTGCTAGTATTCTTGTCTACCACTGCCCTCGGTGCAATTTTCTCCTCCAGCTCAACGGACATGGGCGTGAAGGGGATCTTGGACCGACTGTTACAGATTCGCCCTCGCCTGTTGTTTATGGATGACCAGGCCGTGTACAATGGTAAGACAATCGACCTGCGATCAAAGATGGCGGCGGTTGTCAAGGGCATGCAGTCCGTGGGTGAGTTTCAGGGAATTGTCGCCCAGTCACGATTTGCTTCTCGACCATTAAATGTGAACCATGTGCCGAAGGCGCAGCCCATCGCGGCGTTTTTAGCTAAATCAACTAGTGACTCCCTGGAATTCGAGCGAACCGCATTCTGTGATCCTTTCCTCATTGTTTATTCGTCTGGGACAACCGGCCAGCCGAAATGTATTGCACATTCGGTTGGAGGAGTACTCATCAATGCCTACAAGGAGGGGCAATTGCATATGGAACTGGACGAGACCAGTGTGGTCTTGCAATATACTACAACTGGCTGGATCATGTATCTGTCGGCCATCCAAACCCTGTTGTTTGGATCCCGGGTGATCCTCTACGATGGCAGTCCTTTTCTCCCGCACCTTTCATCACTAATTACGCTTGCGGAACAGCAAAGGTAAGACGAATAGCTACCAGCTACTGCTAGAAACCCAACTGACATTGTCGCAAGGGTCACACACTTCGGAACCTCTCCACGATACATGTACGAGCTCCAAAAGGCGAACATCCAACCGAGAGAGATCGCGGATCTGAGCCCGTTGAAAATGGTCACCAGCACTGGAATGGTCCTCCCTGAGTCTCTCTTTGAGTGGTTCTACGACCAGGGCTTCCCGCCCCACGTGCGTCTCAACAATATTTCTGGGGGGACCGATCTCGCCGGGTGCTTTGGCATTGGCAATTCGCTTCTTCCTCTCTATGTGGGTGGTTGTGCCGGAATGAGCCTCGGGATCCCAGTTGATGTCTATGACCCTAGCGTCGAGGGTTCGGGTGTCAAGGGAGTCCCTGTAGAGGAAGGGGCTGCCGGTGAGCTTGTGGCGACCGCCGCGTTTCCCAACATGCCGGCTTGCTTCTGGGGTGCGGACGGACACAAACGGTATCACGGTGCCTACTTCGCGCGCTTCGACAGTATGTTCTCCATGGGTAGCTTTTGAGTATTGGTATGGTATACTAACGAATGATACCAGATGTCTGGACTCACGGCGATTTTGTGTCTATCCACCCGGTCACTAAGCAGCTATTCTTCCACGGTCGGGCGGACGGTGTGCTGAACCCGTCGGGCGTTCGATTCGGCTCCTCGGAGATATACCAGGTCATTGAAGGTGAATTTCCGACTGAGGTCGTGGACTCAATCTGTGTCGGTCAGCGCAGACCGTCAGACACAGACGAGCGGGTGGTGTTGTTTTTGCTTCTGAAGCCGGGCGTCGTCTTTACCCAGGAATTGGTTGGCAGAGTTAAGGCTGCGATTCGTCAGAAGCTCAGTAGTCGTCATGTCCCGACGTTCATCTTCGAGACTCCTGAAATTCCGGTAAGCAAGTGACCTGACTAGCGGCGAGTCCCATCGGCATTACTGACAATGGAGAATTAGACCACCGTCAATGGGAAGAAGGTTGAGCTTCCCGTGAAGCAGATCATCTCCGGAAAGAGAATCAAACCGTCTGGTACCCTGCTCAATCCTCAGTGCCTGGACTATTACTACCAATTCGCTGAAGTTGAAAAGCTGGTGCCCCGGGAGAGTAAGCTTTGAAGGGGCATGTATACGTTAAATCCGAGAAAGCCATGGGTGTAATAGTAGACAGGCGGGATAATAACTGGATTGATAAACAGTAAAAAGGCATGTACTTGATCTACGAGGGAAGTAGGTTTCTCTAAGGTGCAAAGGATGTTTCACAATATATAACCATCATACATCTACGAGCAGCTTTGACCAACACAATACATTAGAGTACCCGTAACTACGGAGAAAGGCAATGGAATATATGATGGAAACCATACAGAGCTGTGAAATTTAAGTCACAACATGCACAAACTTGAATCGACCTTTTACGATAAGCATCGATATAAGCAAGATGAATTGCTTCATCGGGTGGTTGTATCGAGACAGCCCCACCGTGTCGACGGGAAACCGACGGTGTTTTGTTGGCCGTGAGTCACTGAGCCCCCGCCGAGCGAAATTATGACACACCCGATCAAGAATTATTGGCCATGACGGACGCACTTATACGAGAAATAGGCAGATTCGTTTCTTCAATCTTCCGCTGGTGTATCACATGAGAGTACCGCCAAATCCCTGCTGGCGCCATCCTGGAAATAAAACCACGATGAAAAAATGGGAGTTGACATCGTGCGGTGATTGACAACCATCTTTCTGCAAATCGAAACTACTTGAACAAATGGCATCAAGGTAAGTCTTGTTGTCCGGGGCGCCCATATCCCTGGGAAGAGGTGATTCAGAAGGGGCCAATATCAAATGAAGAACAAAAGCCAAAGGCCATTCGCAAGCAGTCGCTAAATGTTTTCAAAGCACGATTCCCAATGGTTCCCACGACATTGCGATCGTACGGGGAACAGTTGACTCCATCCCAGCCGTCCTGAATCTCCTCGATACCGCAGTTAAATGGCTGGTATCGCAGGACAGAATTGGGCAGTGGGGAGCAGCACCGTTTTCCGAGAATCCAAAAAACCCCGAACGACTCAGAGAATTTGCAACCACCGGCCAGGGTCTGTGGCTCGCGATCAAGGTAGCTGATAATACGCCCGTGCTGGACCAAAATCGACTCCCCGGTACAAACGCCCAAACCGTGAACGGAGACACTCCGGGTGTCGTCGTAGGAGCGCTTGCTATTGGAGAGAAGATGCCATACGTGCCATCGGTCTCGGAGCCTGAGCTTTACGTGCGACTGTTAGTCACAGATCGACAGTGGGCGGGCAACGAGATTGGCAAACGTCTTTTGGAACATGCACGTCATGTTGCCAACAGCGTTGGGGTCTCATTACTACGGGTGGATTGCTATGCAGGTGGCGACGGCAAACTGGTCCAATATTATGAATCCCAGGGGTTTAAGCGATCGGAGAGCTTGAACCTGGAAGGCGACTGGCCTTGCCAAGTGCTGGCCCAACGATTAGATGAGGTGGAAGGAGAAGAGAGACCTTGATTCTTTCCTTGCCGGAGCATATGGAGTGGCTACGAAATGGACATCGACATTTATGCAATACACTACGCGGTGGATCCACAATAGACACCTTATTGGGCTCGGTTTCTTTTTTGTAGTCATCTAGGGCATAAGCAAAGTAGGCCTGCACTTTGTCGTAAGCTAACTGGTCGGCCGTTCACATCTGGTCAGTGGGGGTTCTCACGTTCTACATGTTCAATGGAAGACTGCTGTTTGCGGGGATACGGGGTTTGTTGAATATACGCCGAGCCGAGGCTCTTTTCCATTTGGCGTCCTGCAGGATCAAGGTGTTGCTAAGGCTGGTGAGGACCTTGTCAAGATACCAATTTCCGTGGTCCCGGCCGATCGATTGTCCGCTGGAGAGGCCCTGCACCATAGCTGGCATGAAGCAATCATAGTTTCGAGTCATGTGCACTTGAACGAGACTGCATTGCCTACTCTGCTGCACTCTATTGAGCTATCGGCAAGACGCGGTGCTATCATTGAGATGGAACCCATAAAAAGGATCATGATGCAGATTTCAACGCGACATGGTCCAGGTAGTTCACGAACAGTCCACAAGCCAACCTAGCACGCTGTGACAGACGTAATGTTGACCTAGAATTCAACAGGGAGCTGATAGCCTCGAGTTGATAGACGCCCAAAACACTCACTACTCATTCAATCCGGTACTTGGGAAAGCTCGAGGTTGAACCAGGGTTTGAGTCTATAAAGAGGAGGGCCGAGGCTCTCAAAGTGAACCGGTGACAGGAGGTAAAAGTCATACAGCAGACGGACAGAAAAAGAAAGTAAGATGGTATGATGAATATATACACACACCCAATGCATTATGAGCGGGACAGACAGAGCTTGTCAACCTCACGCCATCCAGTATCTCCAGGACCGAATTCTTGCACGTTTCCAACACTGAAACAAAAGGCCATTCTCATATATATGTCAACTTGGGAGCCAGAAAGCAACAGCCTCTCCAATTGGAGGCTTATCCGTTGGCACCGGGGATTTGATCATTGCTCGTAAGTGGGTACCCCAGGATAATTTCCGACCCAGTCCCTGCGCGCGCTTATCCATAGACTGGCATAGGCGTACTTTGCTGGTATTAGATTTCACAGCCTCGTCCATACATCAAAGGGTTCTATACATACATCATACAAGCCCCAGGTTCTAGTATTATATCGCACTTAGAGAGAAATAAGGAATGGCAAGTTAATTGAACTGGGTTACTAATTGTTTGCCAACAGCTTACGGAAGCAAGAGGTTTTGCGACAACTTGCAGTATGAACCAGAGGAGGTCATCTCTAGCCTGGCCTATCATAAACTGTGACCTACGTAATTTTCATTTGTATCTGCTTTGAAGGCTTCCTTTAACCGTCCCTATAAGTTCGATTCATCCCAAGCCCTCAGCTCTCGTGTGACATTATTATTCTCATCCATACCCTTAATAGAGCTACCAGCAATATGTAATACGCTGTAGGACTTGAAGGCATGACCTGGCATTGTCAGGCCGGGCGTTCCAGGAGGATCATCGAGGACTTGTTTGGTAAAAACGCCGAGGCCGAGACATTTGAACTGATCAGGCGTAGAAAAGGTGTCTACTGGGACTCTGATAACGTAACGGGGCTGGCCCTCGAGGGTAAGGAGCTCCCCGAGGCAGTTGGATGAGCAATGTATCTCTGACACGTTGGTGAAGTCAATTGTAGAGTAGGCGGTATGCCTTAAGAACACAGGGTCACGCAAGCGTTAAGAGACTTAGTAGCGGCGATTGCTCCTTCCGACAAGCCATCTAGAGCAGATGATTGAGCTTGCAAGACCGGGATCTTGAATATCGCGGACTCGAGGTTCCAAACATCTCATCTAGAACGCCGGTGTCGAGAAGACATTTCCTTCACACATTATTCTCAGCCATCAACCCGTCTTAGTGCTGACCGTTATGTCAAGAGCTTCTTCCAATATGGTTATACAGCTACAGAATTCCAATAATATTATAATGGTACTAATTTATAGCAACAACAGGCATACGAAGAAACACGTAGACTACCTTGCCAAGTGCACTGGGGTGTATGCGCTGAAAAAAAAAAAAAAAAAAAAAAAAAAAAAAAAAAAAAAAAAAA